AAATGTTTTAATTATGATAGAACCAGATTATTGGTTACAAACTTAAAAAATTAAAATAAGTTTATTTTTGGTATATAATAAATCATAACATAAATAAAGAACAGATTATCCTGACAACAATATCTTAATTTCAAAATTATAACTTTAAAAACATTTAAATTATACAACTGAAACTTGAAATGATTGGTTTTTATATACGTAACACTAACCTTTTCAAATATCGTTGGAAAAGCATCTTTTTGAAAAAAAATTTTCAAACCAACTTTATGAAAACTTTCGAAGTAAAATGTTTGCTGCAAATTAAAATCTATTTTTTTATCGTAATTGTCAATGTATTTTTTAATGAGGTTTTCCCATTGCCTTCTCTTAATATCATTCTTTGGCAGTCTGAATTTAAATTGAACTTAATTAATATCAGCGCAAATTATTTATACTAATTTAAGTTAACATTGCCATTTAATGCATTTATTATGTTACTAATATTACTATTATATTATATTTTTATATTATATATTATTGTTTGCCAATTATTATAATTATATATTGTATAGTATAGTCTATAGTGTTATACTTTATTTTATAGCTATAGCATAGTGTATAGTATACTCTAAATTAAATAAACCTGTGTAAAGTAACTTTTTCATCTAAATAAGATGAATGGCATTTTGTAATGTAATGGAACACACAGGCATTTTGACTTGGTTGAGAATCTGTGTCTGTCAAATCAAAATTTCTAATTAAAAATGTATTATTGTTTTTAATATTATTTTGACAAGTTAAGAATTAAGATTCTCTAATAGTTTAATCTCAATGTCATGTCATGTGTACTTTTAAAAAAGTATACTTTACTTTTAGCTATTAAAATAAGGATAGTTTTATATTTAAGTGCAAATCCTTTAGTTTGTCAATGGCAACTAATTTGACAACAAGAAGACACAAATGTTTAAAAATATTTTATATATTTTACTTATGTATGTGTATATGTATGTATGTATATGTATGTTTGTATGTTACGTAAGAATGTAAAATGTATAAAACGAAATGTATAAATGCAAAAAATTATACTAATCTCATTTCTTTTTTAAATGCACTAAATATAGTATATAATATATAAAATGCAATACGAAATCGAATTTAAGACGGCAAACAAGACAAAATCTTCGCAAGCGATAATTTCAGATCAGACGATTAATCAAAGACACTGAAGAAGACAACGACGATGCTTGATCCATAGAACAAAAAGCAATTTTTGTAATAAATTAATTTATATGCCATATCCATTATATCCGTGATCCCAGTTTCCGATAATATTTAGATTTGGGACATTCAAAAATTAAAAACAATTTTGAAAAAAGTTTTAAAATGTTTATTTTAAAATTTTATTAGATGCTAAATCATTCGACAAATGAGATTTTATTATACATTGTCCAGGTGATGCCTGTAAAGCACGACGATTTTAAACTAGCCCTGTCATATACATAGAATAAAGGTGTATGGGCTCGGTCATACGTATTACGTACACCAGAAAAAAGGTACTAAATATGTTGGGATATTATGCAAAGACATGAAATAAATCAATTAAAAAATAATTAAAATAAATAAAATCTTTAACGAATGAGTAAATATTTATTAATAAACTATAAAAATTTATAAATAGTAAAACTTCATGAGTTTGATAAATAATTCTTCATGAAAACTACAGACCAGACTAAGCGCACTGAAAAAGTGCGTTCGAGGGCCTGCAAAGATGTTCTAATTAATGACATCGTCGTATATTATTGTCTATGTTGTCTCTACCTGTAGATGAGATTTTTCTGAACACCTGTGTGATCGCTTCAGCAGTTGTTTCGCCGTTCATTCAATTAATTTATAATTTTGTCACTAATTTGTGAAATGGAGCGCATCTTTCTGCTGTTTTTTGTACTTGTTTTTCAATGTTTAACAGGTTCGTTTTGATGTTTTTTTAAAAATTGGATTTTGATGTGAATACACTTTTTTATACCGCTTTTTTATATTTGTTGGATACTAGATTAGCATTAGTAGAGCATTAGGATTAGAGATTATCATTATGATTAGCATTAGAGATGTTGTTAGTTTGTCAATCAATGTTTTTTACTTTTTATTTAGATTTCTTTTATTTTAGCTTTTTGTTTAAAATTTATTTTTAAGTTAGTAAAGTAAACTAAATTACTAAATAAACAGTATAATATACACATCAAAACCAAAAAGTTTTTGCATTTACAATTACATATCTGTTTTTCATAGATTTTTATCTGATAAAGATTATCATAAAGTGATAACCAAGAAATTATCTTTAAAATTAAATTATTAAAGGCTTGAAATTAAATAAAGATAAAAATTAAAAGGTTTGAATTAAGAATAGGATTTGTAATTGCACATTTCTATGTTGTATTGTGTGTGCATATAAATTTTATGAGACCACTATTACTTTATTAGGTACATGCTTACTATAGGAATGGTAAATTTTGCTAAAATACTTATATGTCACCATGTCAATCACAGGACCCAAGGCTATTCACAAGCCAAAGCAAAGATGTCCATTCAATAAAAAAAGAGCTAAGAACCATTTAATTCACACTTATTTTTATTTAATATTCATAAATAGCCAATGACTAGTTGCTAACAGAACCAATGACTAGTTGCTAACAGAACTAGTTAAATCAGCCCATGAGAATAAAATGTTTTTTTTATAAGTTTTATATTAAATTATTTAAATTTTTGATATCTTCACCTAAGAATTTTTTTAAAACTTGAATTTTAAATCACAATATTGGTCGGTTACCACAAAAATAAATGAACAAATCAGATATATTTATCTTGAAAATATCAATTCCATATTTGCTTATTTTTCGTTATTGTCGATGCATTTCTGTATGACATGATGAGCAGGAGATGCTATCTGCCTGCTATCAATTCCGAATGACACATATCCATCAAATATCATAAAAATAGAAGTGCAACAAGGATAAAAATGATTTGTAAAACATTTTCAAATTAAAAAAATTTTACAGTTAAAAATATCAGATTATTGAAAAAGAAAGATTCATTTATAGAAATAAATGATTTTGTTCATTAACAATTTATTTATTTTTATTTATTTATTAACATAACTGACCAGAGGGCCCAACGGACCACTTACCCAGTCTGACCAAAAAACAAGATAAATTGCAGTTCAAATAAACAAAATGGCAAATAGAAAATAAATGGATCCTTGAAAATAAGTGTCATTATCTCGATCATTGCTGTTCAGTTTGACATGTATACAGTGAATTAGAAATTGGAAAAAAATATGAACACCAGTGACATAATTTCAATTATAGTCATTGACGCTCGGTTTGACAAACAAATATAGTTGATTACAGTAGGTTAGGTAAAACAGTAAGATACATATTGATTAGTGATTAAGCCGACAACTAATGATAAAAAAAGGAAAATTAAATCTTATACGGTAACACAGTATAAACAACATAGAATGGTTGACAAGCATTTTATAAAAAGAAAAATAAAACTAGTTAAATTCATCGATCAATAAATAAAAAATTTGCTAATATCGGTAGCAAGTAATTTAGTCTTGAAAACTGTAAAAGATAGAGATGAAACTACTTCTTCCGGTAAAGCGTTCCACATTCTGACAACTCTGTTACAGAAGAAGTTTTTAGTGATGTTATTGATGGTGGTTGGTTCACGCAGCTTACTGTGATGACCACGAGTTGACAAATATTGTGAGGGGCAAAATAGTCGTTTAAATCTGAGACGACTAGCAGCTTGTTTAATAGTTTGTACACAAGACACAAGTCAATAATTGCTCTGCGATGTTCTAAGATAATCACAAAGAAAATTAAAATAATCACAAAATAAGTTGGTGATACATACAATATTGAATAAAGTGATAAGGGTTGGATGGTTTATTTGGGACTGTTAGATTGGAACTTTGGTTGTAATAAATAAAACTATGAATGATGAATATTTTATATTTCAAGGTGGATTTTAACTTTAAGTTATACTCATTTATGTTCATTATTAAAAAATGTTTTCAAATGTTATTATAATATTAATTAATTCATAATTTCGGTGTATAATTTTTAACTGGCAGTTGATTCGAACCAAATTGATGTGGATAGTGGTCCATTAAGATGCTACGAGTGCAACGTCTGGAAGGCCGGATACGGCAATGATTGCAACACTCCGAGGAACAGGTCAGGATGTTTCGCATGCATGAAAGTTGAAACAAACGTCTTCATGGGATATTACAAGAACACTCCAAGATGTAAGTCTGCCGCTCATAAATATCTATCTTTTCATCCATCCATCAATACATTTCTGTTTTTTCCATTAATCCATCTACTGTTACATGCTTATCTACCAATCCATCGTTAATCCATCCATCCATATTGTACACATGTATACTGAGGCAACCTGTCATATCATTGACGTTCTTGCCAAAAGACAGCAGTGAGCATTTGCACGGGTTCAACAAGCTCATAGGCTCAAGACATTCAGGATGACCTATCTGATCATTTATAATCGACAGTAAAGATCACATTAATATACCTTGTTTTTGTTGTTTTTATGACAGATACGACGATACTGTCCCGAGTTTGTGCAAAGACAAGAATGGTGGCTTACACGACGGGGTGCCAATATTACAAGACTGTTGATGGCCACAGTCGACGATGTTACTGCAATTCAAATAACTGCAACAGTGCACCCACCATCCAACCGCCCACTCTGCTAACGTTCGCTCTGCCAATTTTATATTTCATGAAACTCGTGCATTAAAAATCGATTTGAAAACTGTTTATCATTATTTTGTAGTGTAAATATTTGTATTTATATATATATATTTATTTATGTAAAAACACGATATATTAATTTTAATTTGCAATGATTTTTAAAGAATTATTTGTTCTACAAAAAACAGTTTGTTAAATGTAATAAAATGAATATGTCTGAAGAAAATAAAGCAATAAAACAGTTTTTCAACTCTTCGGCGATCTTGTTCTCATTTTGGAAAGCAAAGAGTTGCATATTAAAAATACTACCTGTGATGTTTAAAACAAAAAATAATACTTCTATCATTGATGGAAAAATGGCTATTTTAATTAATTAACTAATTACTTAATTAATTTAGTCGTTTTTTCATCAATGATTATTAATTAATAAACATGAACTGTTCGTTTCCATCTGACTGACCTGGAACGTCGCTGTGATGAGGCAGACGGCAGTGATGACGTCCATGACGACCCAGATGGATTGGTCGTGCCACAGGTCAGGATTTTTCGTGAACAGAGCCACAAAACATCCCTAACGATGAAAATATAAATTAAAATATTTAAAAATTTATGAATGCCACCAAAAGCGCACTTTAGTGTTGATGTTGACACTGTTTTTAACTCTGCCAATAGCATCCTCTTGACAGCGCCGGGCATCCCTCAACTGAAGTTTCTGAGGGTCCACCCAAGTTATTTCTCTGTCTTGGTTGAAGTTCAAAGCACAACAGGAGTCAGGAACGTAAACAGTTGGGTTGTCCTTGTTTAGAACAGTTGAACGCCAATTAAAAAGTTGTTATAGATGACATTTAATTAATGTTATTTACACTGTTGAAATACTGAATTATAAGTTGCTCTAACACTATCTGGGTTGGACTTGGTGAACCAATTAGTTTCCAGGTAGTCCCAAGGTCCGTCAATTCCACAACAACGTTTCTTTGCAAACAAATTAAAAAAACCATCAAAACATGACAATTTAAAAAATAGGCACCAGTGCACACACAGCACACAAACAGACGTACACAACTGTAAGAACCACAGAGAGGGAGCCATCTATTGCATATTCACTCACATCAACCATGGATACAATTAGACATGCATATGTTAAGATTTTATGCTTTAAATGATAAGAGTTTTAAGAGTTTTACTTTGACTTGTACTCTGTTCCACTCCATTCCTAATTTACTCTCCCAATCATAAAAAAGTCTCAACTGATTTTTCATGCCGTTTTTGACAAATCGGAAAATCTAAAAAAAACAAAAAATTTAAATAAATGGATTTAAAACGTTGTTAACATGTTTGAAAAGCTTGCATCATATCTTAGTCCAACTGGCAGAAATCCACAGATGAAAGCAAGAATCATGATGAGTGTGGCAAATATTGGCACCTTGAATAAACAGTTAAATGTTTGTATGTTTGTAAATCTTTTTTTAAGGTTAAAATGGTTATAAAAACACAGTTTTATTTCTAACCTAACTTACACATGCATTTTCATAAAGTTATGGCAAAATTGATAAAAATTATAAAAAATACTTTAAAGAAGGATCCAAACTAAAATATTGCATAAAACAGAAAAATTAATGAGACCAGAGAGTAGAAGCGTTTCATTTTGCTGATGATGAGGCAGACGATGCCAAAGACAGAGAGCACTGTTAGGAAGACGCCGATGGAGAGCATGATGCCTGCCGAAGCTACTAACAATCGATCGTTGTAACTAAGGACGAAGATGGACATGTAGGAATAAATATCTTTGCTTGCATGAAACCAGATCCCACAAGCCAAACATAGGAGACCTAAGCACTGAAATGCCAACAGTAAATTGTATGAATATAATTTTTTTGAAAATAAATAAAATTTATATATATTTAATTAATTTTTATTACTATATAAATAAATCAAAATAAAATTATTTAAAAAAATTTTATATGATTTATCATTTATCTGTTTATCATTAATGATTAATATTGCTATTAATTAATAATAATTATTTGTATTCTAAAAATTATGTTTAGCAACTTAGAGAAGAAATTATATTAAATTTATAAATTTTATAAATAAATAAATAATAAATATAATTTATGATAATAATAACATAATTAATTAATTTATATTTTATTTACTTATTTATTAACAATTTAATATTTATAATAATAATACAATAATGAATAAAATAATATTTCTAATTTATAATATAATTTATTCTATATAAAATATATTTTAATTCATTTATTTATTTATATTTAAAAAAAACCAAATATTGTTATTCTATCTTATCTTATTTAATAGTCAATTGTTAACTAAACATTGAAACAAAAAATAAAAATTCACCAAGTTGAAGGCATTGAGGATAATCAACAATATCGTAACGGCTTCCATGTTTCTTATTAATTCAATTTCAATCTTTAAATTTTTAAAAAATTTTCATCGAATATCCGACATAATCAAAACAATACAGGTAGAAACAAAGAAACATTGAAGTCTCTAATCCTCTACATAACAGACCAGGTAACAGTAATAGATAAATGCACATATGTACGATGTACTGTACATCCTATAATACATAAGCATAGGTCGTTTGGTTTTTTTAATTTTAATTACTTGAAATTTTATGTTGTGACTTTATTTTTTCCTTAGAGGCTTGGCCATGGTCATTCCATTTTATAAAGTCAAAGGCTGTAAATCCAAAAACTACAAAAGCATTACGCTTCTGTCAGTCTTTGGGTAGACCTGGATAAGCTCAGTGAAGAAGGATATGTTGCTGTTATCATTGGTGCCTCCTCAGCCAGTAGACACGGTCGTGATTCACAAAATGATCACTCTACACGTTATGGCCCTTAATAAAAATGATGAGGATGAGAATGTCGATGAAAGCCACAGGTGACGAAACCACATTGTTTAAAGTTAATAAAGACATGATAAAAATATCAGTTTAAGGTAAACATTTGGCCCTTAATGCACCACATAAAAACACCATTATCACAAAAGAGTTTCAAACAATTCACGCGTTCAAAACATTTGAATCGCATAATCTTAAACGCTTCAAACTATTCGACATCACAGAACCACTTTTCATCCCAGTCTCGCACATCAGAACATCATCATCTGATCCTAGGTTCATGATCCAATATTCATTCTACTCCACATTACTGATCTCACTTTGATTTTGTTTTTATATTTTCTCGAGCAGGCAATGACTTGAAACATAGTTAGTATAAAATTCATTTTTTTACTAAGCCAATGAAAATTTTTAAAAATTGGTGTCACGTGGTTGTACTTTGAACCACTCTGTTTTGAATAAAACTGGAGAAAGGCGATAGATTTTTCCGATGACCCATAAAATAAACCAATACAATAATCGAACTTTGAGTTTATTATTTGTGTTGAAAATTTATTCAATGACACATTTATTTTATTTTCGTTGCATTAAGTTGTAAAGAACAGGAATTAGCCAGTGTTATTACATGATCCTTCATTCATCATAAAATGGGAGTCAAGACCGCATCCTAAATTTGTTGCTTCATTGCAGAACTTGATACTTTTATCCTTTATCATGATTGAGTTAGTTTCAAGTCTTGAAAAAGCTTGTCGCCAAATAATGAAAAAATTGATTCATGCTTGTTCAATCTGAGACGCTCATCTATTAACTTTGGTTAAAAATTCAACAAGTTTGTCAACCGCCCAATGAAGTAATTCAGGTTTATTACTTTTATTTGAGTATTTTTTGCATAGCCATGCAATTTAAACCAACAGCCCCGAGTAACCCAAAGTATTTTTTTACATTTATCTTACACCTTTGGTTTTAATGTTTAAGTTCTTTTTTCTTTCATTTTGTATTTTAAACTTTGTCTTACACCATCAATTTTAAAGTTCAGGTTTTTTTTTGATCACTGCGTTTGTGATTATGTGCACTTGGTCAATTATATTTTAAGTTAAACATTTTGTACCGTTGATGTTAATGTCTAAATGTCTAAATGTCTATATATATATATATATATATATATATATATATATATATATATATATATATATATATATATATATATTGGTATATATATATAATTTTTACAATATTCTATAAATTCTACCGAATGTTTGGCGTTAATATGTTTGTAGTTCGTTTTTTAGATTTTTCTCACTAAAGTTTTTTGGTGAACGTTTAGTTTATTAAAATTCAAAATAAACTTATTTTTCGAATTCATGCTGCAAATAAGGCCATATTTCGATTCCGTATGAATCATCGTCAGTGCTCCTTGCTGTATATATAGGGAAATATTGACTTTGTCAAGATTAACTTTGACGTTGTAAAAATTAACTTTGGTGTTATAAAATTGAACTTTGATGCGAATTAGGTGTCAGGTTTCTTAATTGGCTGGTCATCTTCTTTGGTCTCCTTTTCTTCATCGATAGCATCATATTCTTCTTTGTCACTATTTACGATGCTAGTTTTTATTACTTCTTTGTTTTCGTTGTTGGTTAAGCGCCGGGTTGGAAGTGAGGTTGTCATTTTTTGTTGTATATTTATTTTTGGTTTATTGATGTCGATTAGGACTGCTTCTGCAATTTTAAGATGCGTGTAGTTGCTGTTCTGGTATATTACTTTGGTGTTGCTGTCGAGGATTTCACGGCTAATTGTGATTGAGTGTGTTGAGTCCAAATGAGATTTGATAGCACCACTCTGTTTATGCATCGTAAGCCTTCTAGTCAGTGAGGTAGTAGTAATCCCGATATGTGAGTCATGTTGACGTGCACAGCCGTCAAAGGGGCAATTAAATTCATATATTACGTGATTACGCTTTAACTCAGAGTTATCTCTAGGACTGCAGTTGTTTTTCAGTAATAGGTGAGACGTCTTTTTATTGTTGTAATAAATTCGGAGTTTAACTTTATTATTTGGGTTGGTTGGTGTGACATTTTTATTGATGATATGCTTAAGAATAGCTTCATCTACCTTGTATGCTGTTGACATGTGATTTCTGTAATACAAGATGAATATGGCCTTATTTGCAGCATGAATTCGAAAAATAAGTTTATTTTGAATTTTAATAAACTAAACGTTCACCAAAAAACTTTAGTGAGAAAAATCGAAAAAACGAACTACAAACATATTAACGCCAAACATTCGGTAGAATTTATAGAATATTGTAAAAAATATATATATATATGTATGTATGTCTGTATGTGTACGTATGTGTATATATGTGTGTAAGTGTGTATATATGTATGTGTATATGGGTGTGTTTGAATGCGTGTTTTTTTAGGTAATTGTAGCATGTGTTTATAATATGTATATTTAATACAACTGTTTTAAGCATTTTGTCCTTGGGCATTTAATTTTCTTTTTTTTTGTTTTATTGTTTTAAATTACAACAAAACATTTTTATTGTTGATTTATTTAAAGTCTTTGGAATATTTTTTAAAGTCGTTTAATTGCTTATGTTACAATTGATTTTAATGGACAGATGTTGTATTTGTGTATTTTTTTTAATTTTTTATAACATGTATATTTTTGTCTATTCTCTAAAGTCATTCTACTATCATCACTCACTCACTCACTCACTCACTTACAAATATTCTGCTTATTAAAGCCTAAGAATAAAAAAGAATGAAAATAACTAACTGATTGTGTACAGGAAAAGCACAAGTACATAAATAAATTTTGTAATAAATTTGTGAAGTTTTCATTTGGAAGAATGAATAGACGAAATACAAAACGGAAAGTTGTAGAAAGATAATTTGAGTTGTCTGATAGGAGAGAATTGTAGTCAAAAAGTTATAACCTACAATTTTTTTTAAATATAAAAATGTTGTTTAAAAAAGGTTTTTTTGGAAATTTACAACATTCCGTTATTTAATCGTTTATGTCAATTTTAATTAAAATATTGTTTTTCAAAATAACAATTTGAAAAAAAAATTAAATTTTTAAATTAACTTATGTTTCTAAATTGAAGAAGTTCATTTTTTTGAACAGTATTCAAAAATTTTATTATATTTTATTATACTTCTGTTGAACTCTAAAAACAACAATTTGGTATTCACATTTTAATGGCGGATCGTAGGTCGTTGTTGGTTGTTAAAAGGTTTATGAGTAAATAGATCAATATGTCCAGTGGTATGTATAAAGTTTAACTTAATATACAACGTAACTTGGACACTTTGAATGTGAATTCTCATTTATTTGGTTAAATGTCCAAAATGTCAATTAATAAACGCTTCATTTTTGACTTAATGTCAAATATTTTTATAAAAATACAGAAAACTTACTAAAAAATATTTAAACATTCAATTAAAATAAATTTATATTATTTAATTAGTCATCTGAGTAACAAATGTTTCTAAAGAGTAGGTGTTGAACCAACGACCAATACTTTCTTGATTTAAATTCATCCAATTAATATTTGACCTGATTGATTAAAATGATTACGGGTTAACTTGTGTTCAAAAGTTAAGGTTGTCAATGAAAATGATTATCATTTTTCAATTATTGTCATCATCGCCATCATCGTCATTAACATTTTTACCATCATCAACATCATACGAATCATCATCGTCGTCATCCCTGCTATCAAATCTTCATTTCACCAACACCATCAATATCACCATTATCAACATCAAACCATTGACATTATAGTAATCAATATGAATGTCACAGTCATCACCACTATATTCTTTTTCCAGCCACACACCAATCTTTTTTTTCTGCCACACACCAATCTTTTTCCTTCAACCACACACCAATCCTCTTCTTCCAACCACACACCAAATCTTATTCATCCAACAAAATACCAAAACAGAGCGTATTTTTAATTGCTTCCTTGTAAAAATTTTTTCCAAAACATCACCGTTATAACCGTTACAAATTGTTATTTTTAGATTATTGAGATTCAATAAAATAATAACTAATATCATATAAATGTTAATTCCACCTGATCAACGCTAAAGCATTTTCAAATGATTTGAGAGCCACTCCAGGCGGAGGACGGGCAGTAAATAATTCTTTGAGCTGCAATTAAAGCAAAACGTGGTGCTAATATTTCAGATTTACATAATAATTTTTATGTGTTGATTGAATGACTTTTTAACAAACCAGTAGCTTCGCTAGGACCACTATGGACGGGGCAAAAATATTGGTAAGACCCATTAAATATAGGATATAGGGTCGCTTTGCTAGTGCATTAACTTACTGGTTTTTAAAATATACATCTTATAAATATAAATTACATATAAATCAATCAGTCAATCAGTCAGTAGGTCGGTCGGTCGGTCAGTCAGCCAGCCAGCCAGCCAGCAAGCCAGTCAGTCAGAGGACAATAGATTCGTGGTATCCGGATCCGAATCCACGTCATGTCCAGATGATGGTTCATATATATATATATATATATATTACGATGGTTCATATATATATATATATTACGATTTTTCAATCAACTTATCACTTGTTGCAGTTTATATTTATATAGAGAATTTGTATAACCAAGGCTTTTGTTCTTGCAATAGGCATTTGTTGTTATCAGTGACTTTATTAATTTTACTGTCTTCTTTACTTATTGATATAGTTTCTTTGTTTGGGCTAATTGCTTTGGTATTATGTTTTAGTGTTTTTGTTGTTTTATTACTTTGGTGTTATGTTTTATTGTGCTACTTTTATTGGTATCATTTACAGGCTCTTTGATAGCACTTTGGTCGATGTTACTTTCGTTAGCGTTTTCATCGGTACCATTGGTGTTCGTAGTGTAATTTAATATTGTTCTTTTTGTCGAGAGTATTGTTGAAATCTTTTGTTGTTTGTTTATCAGAGGCTGTTTTATGTTGATGAGAATGGCTTCTGCTAATTTCAGATTGGAATGGCTGGAATTACAGTATATTATTTTGGTGTTGTTGTCCAGGATTTCTCTTGTAATTTTAATATTGTGTGTGTATTCTAAGTGTTTTTTTTATTGAACCTTCCCTTTTGTGCATGGTCAGACGTCTAGTTAGCGATATTGTACTTACTCCGATATATAAAACACTCTGACTCTTGGTGCGCCATTGTGACAAGCAAACATTTGTTCAAAATTTCGGATTAGTGGCAAAAATTTAATCTCACGGAAGTATTCATAATAAGTTTTTGAATTCATAATTTTAAACAATAAATTAGTTTTAGCTCGTTAAATCTTATAGCAAACAAATCATGAAAATAGCCTATATTATTTTATTACTAATCAAATATATTAGAACAAAGTTTTATAACTAATATAATATATTAGAACAAGGTTATGAACATTTAAAAAAAATGTCATTCTGGTGAAAAGGAAGTGTTTAATCATAAATTATTGAATACATTTTGACATTGAAATATTGTCAAAGACCTAAAACTTAAAAATTGATAGGAAATTAAATTTAAAAAGTGTGGAATTGAAACACGATAAAAATGATTGAAGGGAGAATAATGATGTCTCATCACGACAAACATAAAACAAGCAGACGTAAAAGTACCTGTTGATGGTGATACTCCGAGTTGATAGAAGTCATTGTGTAGCAGATGACGTCACGTAGCAGGAAAGCGTCTGATTCAAATCTGTGTGCATTGTTCAAAGTTTATGTTAAATTTATTAAACTCATTTTCTTCTATTGATTCCATTCCAACACACATAAACATAAGTACACACAAATGTATCTCAGCTCAAAAACAAAAGGAAATCAAACAACATTCAATTAAAGTTTTACAATTAAGAACAAAAAAAAATAAAAAATTGCTTGATAGTAAAAATAATTTTGTAAAAATAATCATGAAATTAAATAATACCAACTATTCAACCAATCAATAAATTGGTCAGCTAGTTACTCAAATTAATTAGATCTGTGTTAAAAATGTGATGATTGACAAACCGTAATTTAAATGTGTTAAAATTAATTAGTATATAACACCAAAAATTTTGCCATAAATAGCAAAAATTACTTCAAGCAGATCTCATCCCAATTAGTGAGTAGGAATTCTAAAGAAATTGATCGACTGAGAGGCGTTGCAGTGAAATATTTAAACAAATTTCTCACGTCTTGAACTTTGATTAGACTGTTATTTAATGAGTAGCTGGCATATCTTGAAAAATTAAAAATATAAATGTTGAATTATTACACTTTTAAATGAAAATCGCATCACGAACATTCAAAAAATTATAACACATTATTTAGGAAGCCGCTTGAATACATGGTTTTTCATAATTTGGCTACTCTTCACTTGTTTTTTGGCAGCGATTATCAACTTTTTAAATATCATTTCCTATGTCGTAACGACTATAATTAAAAAATTATTTTTGTTCTTAGGCTTAAGTAACCCTTACTGTAAATATTTCATATGTTGAAGTTGAAAGTATTTTCGTGCTCGTAGATACAACCAGAGGCGGATTTAAGAATTTGGCGCTCTAGACTTAAAAAATTTTACCAAACTATCCAGTCAGAAAAATAAAACCGACATTAAAAATTTTAAAGTTTATAGTAAGAAGTAATAATACAAAATTTTCATTTTGCATTACTTTTATTTCAAATTATTTCATTAATAGAATGTTGGTAATACAAAGTGCACGTCTTCAGTAGTAAATTTAGGATTTCATTATTTTTCGCCTTACTTTCCCTTCAGAAAATCTATGAATTATTTTGTCAAAAGATATATTACAAAGTACATCATTGTCTATTAATAAAATTGGCAAATCATTTAAATCTGTTTTCAGACATATTTGATCTCAAATAAGTTTTAATTCTTGAGAGAAAAGAAAAAGATTTTTCTGTTGTACAATTTGTCACCGCGATACATTTAAATATTCCCAACGCACGCAATATACACATTATTGTAAAATACTGTCCTGTTCTGTGAAACTTTGTGAAACCGTTTTTTCTTATCCAGCGGCAGAGATTATTCAGTGAAAGTTCTTGGTTTCAATGTTCGCGTGGATGAATACATTCTTCGATAAACAATTCCTCAACATCTTCGAAAAATGTTGGCGAAGTTTCATAGCAGTAGATTTTATGTTCTCGATCGACAAAATTTTAAACTCGCAAAGTACTTTAAATTTATTCTGAATCGTTTCGTAAGCCAATCGTCGTTTTTCCAGTTCAGTTCACAAGTCAACTTATCAGTGACTACTGAAAAAACCTATTGTTAGAAGTTTATTACTGTGGTTTACTGGAGCAGAATCTTCTGGCCTATCATTAAAATGGAGTTTTCGTTTACGGAAACTTATTTCTTCATAATCAGCATTAGTTAAAACTTTTGTCTTTTCTCCTATATCATAGAAATTATCTTTTATAACATCTTAAATCAATAAATGTTGAAGCCGTACTCTGCCATCTCAATGAATACTGTTCAAAAAAAAATTTATGAGGAGAAACTGGAGATACTGCGTTTAGTAGATTGAGAAACGTGCTGACATCACCCCAATGAACAAATGACCAGATTATGCGCTGATTAGAAACAATAGAAACAACTATTTCCAATAATATGCAAATTAAATGACCAGTCAGCAGCGAGCGGCAACAATTTCGAAAGTGGTCAACCTTCAACCTTCTCAACAGATGAAGATTCATTTTAAATTTGTGAACTTGATCACATTTGAATTGTGGCAGTCATACTGGTATGCTATTATTTTATTTGCATAATAATTATACTTAGTTAATTAAACCTAATGACATATGATTTTTGTATTGTGAAAAGCGCTTTTTGGAAAACCTGGTTTTATAAAGAAGGCTATATAGTTATATAAAATAAATAAACAAATAAATAAATAAATAAAAATATTTTAAATATATAACATAATGGTGAAACAAGACAAACTGAAAATCTAAAGACTAATAAATTTACTAAAAAGCATTTTACCTCCAGAGCAGCCACTGCTGTTGAGAATATGCCAACGCGTTCATCAAATACTCAACATCAGATGCTATCAATGTTTTTCTTACTTTATCCCACACAAAGTCCCATTCCTTTTCATCCCCTTTCATCACTCCGACAGAGTATATTTCGAATGTGTAGTGTGTTGGAATTCTATTGTTAAAAAGAAGTGCTTGTCATGATAAGATATAAAAATGTGTATCAGCAATTTAGACTGCTTGAGCCTACAGAATTTTATTTGCGAGAAAATTTTAGAAATAAAACTTATGCATTAAAACTATTTTCCTGCTGCCATGTTAGACTAATATCATTAAGATGTATTATTTGTTAAAGAGATTTTAATTTTTTTAGGAAAAAGTTGTAAAATAATATTGCAACCTAACGCGAAATCTTATTTTTGTTTTTCAAAGCAGAGCATTAAATCTAACTCAAATCCAAATGGGTGGCCTGATGGCCTAACGGTTAAAAGCACCTGGTATTATTTCGGAGTGCACGCTTCGTTTAGCACCTATTCACAGTATCGTTAAGTGCCAGTCGAACGAGAGAAATGATAGTCTTTCCTCACGAATGAATAGCAAACAATTGGATGTGTGAATGAACGGAATGTAAAATGAAAATTTTGATTATAAAATGGCTGTCCATAAGAAATGTCTTTCTTTGAAGAGGGGGGAGGCGATACGTGTAGCAATTTATGAAGGGATTCACAAAATTGTGTCACTCATGTTCAGCTCTTTTTCATTAAAAGGTTAAACAAGAGAACTTTTACTATGAAAAAATGAACAATTTGTCGTAAACTTTTTGAAGAAAAAGTGTTTGACATTGTGGATTCGTTAGTGCGCGTAAAAAAATCTACTTAGAAATGTTTTATTTTGCACCTTTTCACTTTCGTTATGTACCTGTTTATTTTGTTTCAACGCTATTGGATGTAATGGATTTTTATTTGTCAATCATTATTTGATTTGCGACATTGGTATGCATAAAACTCTTTTTAATTTTCAGCAGAGCAATTAATAACTTTCAAGAAGGGGGTAGTCTAAAAATTGACATGCATTATATGAATAGGTTGAAATATTTGCAACACTTTATGACAAAAAAAAATTAGGGTCAAAAAAGCTAAACAGTCTGATATTTTTTATGGACAGCCCTTGAAATTGAAGGGAATTGGAATAAAATGACAGTTCTTTGTTACAATCTGTCAATTTTTTAATGCAACAATAACAATAATTCAAACAATAATAATCATAACCATAACAGAAATAGCAAAAACTATAAAAAAATAATATTTAAAATCAATATTTCTTTTTACTTGGCGTTTGAGTACATCCAATCTTCAAATTTCTGTTTGGCCCATTGAATGACATGCTTAATGTTTGAGCGAATTGCTTGAGATAACATAAGCTGATCGAAATTTCTGAAAAGAAAGTTTTATTTAAAATGAAAATGAGAAGAAGTGTTTGAAATTCCATGCATCTTACATTTTTAACAAATCTTTATCCTCCATTAAATCCAAATTTTTAGGCAGCTTTGGAATTATTAATTTTCGAAGTAAATTCTGTTTAATGTAAAAAAATAACTTGAAAAACTAATATGTCATCTGTTATTTTTTCATGCACTAGACATTCAGGTTCATATCATAATCAAATTAATTAGTATATACAATGACTCTGTTACTATCTATGCCAGTAGGGGAGACGGGGGCTGAATGGACCGTGTACAGAAAGGACCATTGAATATAAATGTAGTAAAAACGCGAATTTTTAAATTTTTTTTTTAAAATTTAATTCCGTCTTTTAATTATCTATAACCATATATAAATTTAAGATCATATCTTTGGAAGCGAATTTAACGAAATCGCTTTGTTTTGATTTTGAAAAAGTGAAATTTTCGCGTTGAATATAAATGTAGTAAAAACGCGAATTTTTAAAAATTTTATTTTTAAATTTAAATCTGTCTTTTAATTATCTATAACCAGATATAAATTTAAGATCATATCTTTGGAAGCGAATTTAACGATCATATCTTTGGAAGCGAATTTAACGAAATCGCTTTGTTTTGATTTTGAAAAAGTGAAATTTTCGCGTTGAATATAAATATAGTAAAAACGCGAATTTAAAAAAATTCTTTTTTCTAAATTTAAATCCGTCTTTTAATTATCTATAACCAAATATAAATTTAAGATCATATCTTTGGTAGCGAATTTAACGAAATCGCTTTGTTTTGATTTTGAAAAAGTGAAATTTTCGCGTATCTCTTTTTGATTTTTTAGAAAAATTTAGAATGGCATATTTTTTTTTACTCATTTTTTTTATAAAATAATGTTTTCTGAACAAGAAGTGCTTATTCAACAATTTTATCTTTTTTCATTTTTGAGGGGGGGGGGCAGATTTTTAGTGCGCAATGACTATGTTGTACGGGATAGACCGGCATTGTGTGTACCAAATGAACCACACGTATAATGTAATATTACTAACATTTGTTAAGAGTTAATTGAATCCATTACAAATTCTGAAGAGAAATGTTTTGCTGTTATTGTGTAGCAGCATCTAAGATGGGATTTGGTCTTAGCAGTATTAAAATGAAGCAACTTGCATACGAATATGCTGAAAAACTTGAGAAAAAGATTCCTTATTCACGTTCTGGAAATCAAAGATAGATCAGAGTCAAAGATAAAAGAATCAAAGTCATAGATTCAATTATTGAATGAATAATTTAAATCTGTTACAGTCACGTTACTACTGTAACCTGACTCAATGCACACACGTGCATCACAGCATATTATTATTATTATTATTGAAGTCTATAGGAATCCAATAAACAGGCTGGATTTTATTGGTTAAAATCTATTTTATCATGAAATACTGAATTGTTTATGAGAAAGCCAGAACCTACTTCAATTGGCAGAATGTCAGGTACATAAAGGAGAGCGTCAAGTTGGATCGTTAAAAAGTGCTGAACAAGGATCATTTGTTAGAAAGTGCAAGAAGAGAGAAACGGAACATTTAGAAAAAATAAAGTTTAAAAAAATTTTGATTTGCGGAGAAGCTGGCCGAGATAAGGAGATATGGAATTATTGCAGAAATTGTGCCAAGTGGTCGGGTCGCATGAACTATGTACAAATGCATCTAGTGCTTTGAATTACATTTGTGAATTTTGCATGATATTTTGTTTCATTTTATGTAGAATTTAAATTATTTTAAAATGTTCATATTCTTTAATTTGTTTGTTTTGCTTCATTGGTCCATTCAGTACTTTGTCAGGTCCGTTCAGTACACCGTCATGGTAGGAGTCAATCAGTCATCGTGAAAATTTGAACAACCCATTTTAAAAATTAAATCAAAAAGTTTTTCCGTTATTTGGCAAGATAAAAAAAATGCCGGCATCTCAATATAAAGATAATAAAGAATCAAAATCAGTTATTAAAATAGCGGTGGGTGATTTCATTTGACAGAGAAATTTTTTTAGTAAACGTGAAAAACAGCGGCCCATCCATTCCCCGTCTCCCCTATCTATGTACGTTCAAGTCAACTTTGACTTTAAATGTTATAATTCAATTTCTATTGGTAAACTCCTAACTGTTAATCTATGAATTAAATGATAGCCTGAATAAAATGTTTTATTTGAAATTTGATGGAGAAAAATTTTGGAATTTATGTTAATTCTTAATTTATTCTACTCTAGCTCTTCCCATTAAAAAACCCTTTATTACACGTGAGTCTTTGTTATATTTTTTTTAAATTAATTATTTTAAAAACCGAGCAGAGAAACAATTTTGTCATGATATAATCAAATTTTTGTTACATATTTTTTAAAAACTATTCCTAACTCCATGAGCTTTGCTAAACCTTGCTCTAAAATGGTCTCAATGCATTCTGATTTAATTCATTCAAAGAGAAAATGTTTCTTTTAATTTTTTATAGAGTTTCTATTTACTGTAAGTTTTTATAGGGTTCATAATTTTGTGTACATCCCTTTGTTTTTTTATCACCATCAGTTATGAACTATACTTGCTCCTGACATACTCTACCAGATTTTTTATCAGGTTTTGTTGTTCTTTTTGTGTTTTAGGCGTGAGTCCGTACCTATCATATACCTAACACATACCTATCATAAGCGTGCCTCAAGTTTGTTGTTTGGCTTCCAGATAATAACAATTTGTTTTATAGAGCTTTCAGCACTGTTATTTTTGCCAATACTTTAAAAAGATAAGATAAAAATATTCTTATCTAACACCTTTTTTAACTGAAAATTTTTGTGATATTAGGCTGCTATTTTCATTTTATCGTTTGTGTCTCCAACCAACAGTTTCTTATATAGGTTAGAGACTGACTAATTGCCGGCGCATTCTGGCTTTATTTGTTAATTAATATATAGATCCAGAGCTCCTATTTTGATTCTAAATAAATTGTGGTTTATTATTTAAAAAAAATGATGCCAACTTTGAGTTTTCCATAAAAATTGCTAGTAGACAACATATCTTCTATGAACTCCATTGAATCGAAGAACGCCTTCCAAGGAACATAATCATCTTCTTTGTACAAGTACATCGATAAATTCAAAACAATCTCATATGGTAACATGTTTGCTCTGCCATGATAAATTGAACTTTATATTAGTAACAGTAGATATTTTGTAAAAACCGACAGTTCAGATATAATGAACGATTGCCGTGAAAAGTTTTCAAGTAAGATTGTTATGGAAAACATTCCAGACTAAAAATATACGCAGAATATCTAACGATAATAACGCTAGCAATTAGGATTACAATAATCATAATAACAACAATATTAATATGACAATAATTTTATTAAAAATCCCTTGACTACGTTCTATATGAGCAACATAAATAAAAATTAAAAATATAAAGAAAATACATTTGTACATGAGATGTCACCTCGCTAAATTGAAAGCATCATTTATCAGCCCCGCTCGATTGGCTACAGAGAAGACCTGAAAGGTGAGTTTAAATGTTTCTGAATGTTAGTTCGGCCGGCTCAATAATAACAATGAAAAGAAGAACCTTGTGATTTCGATACAGCTGCTTTATTATGAGTTTCCACTGATTTATTTCATAGTTGACCCTGTAGAGACCCGTTGAATTTATATTCCCCAGCACCCATTTGTTTGATGGAATTTTCATTTTGACTATTCAGCCGGCGATTGTATGCAAATATTTTTATAATTAATAAGCCTAACAAATATTTTATTCTAAAATTATTTCTGTTTCAATAGTTTAGGAATGTAATAACAACAGTCTAAACTCCCATGCAGTAAAAAATTTGTAATTCGATGCAACACAAACTCGAATCGTTGATCCAAACAGTGTGAACTGCATCGTCATCTTCTATCTTGTACATGAAGGGAATTATCCATTTGTACCTTTGTATAAAATTGACAAAATTGTTAAAATGTGTGGTGAAGCATTGAAAATGACATTCAATGTGACCAACTGGTATGGACTCGATTGTACTTCATATGAGTCTTGAGCATTCATTAGGAAACGTTTTTGATCAATGAGATATAAATTATTTCTTATGTGTTTTATAATAACAACAGGAAATCCCATTTGCAATGTCCATGTGTTCATTATTTTTCCAACTTCGATTTTTTGTTCGGAAGAACTCTCAAAGATACTCCAGAGTTGGGACATATTGGCGTTGGAAAATTTAAACTTTTTTATATAATTCTAAAAAAAAATAATGCTTTGATTGACACAATTTTAAATTTGACTAAAATACTTACTTTCAGACCGTTTTTGAAATTTTCAGCACCTAAGAATCCATTTAACATTCTCAAAAGAGCCATACCCTGAATTTAAAAAGGTTTGTTTCAAATTTGTAAAAAAAAGTGATAAAGATTTTATAGGTTTGAAAAAATTCAGTTTTTGTACAGTATTTTATTTGATGATTTCATAAAATTTGAGTTTACAAGTATTCTTTTGTTAATATCAAAAACTGTAAATTGCACTTTGAAGTGCAAATACACAAAATTTATTAAAACCTGCATATTGAAAAACTATCAAAATAAGAAATTACAGTTTTAATAGTCGGTGTTTCAGCAGGATAATGTAGAGTTAGAGTAAGGCTGTAGTAGTAGAGCGCTTTGGGCAAAAACTGTTTTGATGGTCAGTCGGTGATAGGTGGGTGGTGATCGTTGGAAGTAGACATTCTAAAATTTTTATGATGAGGCAGATTAGGGAGAGAGAACCACATGAAAATACTTGAGTGACGTCTTTTCCAGGTTTAAGTAAAGGGATGATGGCAGCTGGTATGCTGCAGAATTGGATCGATCGATTGAAGAAGAGAGTCTTGAAAATGATACTAAAGTGATCAACGTGTTTGAGGTGGATGTTGATGATGTTGTCGGAACCATTAGCCTTGGAGGTTTTTGCTTTTTTGATAGCAATTTCGATATCGTCTTGAAAGTGTGGCAGTATTTTTATTGGATTGGCGGGGTCAAAGTTTATTGAGCATTGGTGAAGTAGAGCATTTGTTGTCGAGTTTTTGATGAGTTTCTAAAACTTGGAGCTTTTCCCGTGTTTGAATTGTTCGACGAATTGGTGCAATTTTTTGTAGGATGCTTTTTTAATGTTGATTTATATTGTGAGAGCGTGTATTTGAATAGACTGAGGATCTTGTTGACATCTCATGAGGATCTCTCTAATTCTTTATTTATATATGGTATTAAATTATGGTCCTCCTTATCTTCTAATATAAAATTATTGTCTAGCATAAATAAGTTTAAGAAATCAATAATTATACTGTTAAATTTTGGATATTTTTCTGCTGTTTGATTAAATATATAAAACTAAAGTTTATGTTAAATATCATTTATATTTCATCAATATGTTTTCATGACACTCTGGTTTTTATATTATGAACATTAAAATTATAATTTAATTGATTAGAACTTTAATTTTAGAGATTTTCATGTTAAAGTAAATTGAACAATTTCAGTTTTGCAACATCTCTTTTTGCTAATTATGTTATATAGTGTTTTGTTTATTTCTGATCATATTACGTTATGTTTTTTGTTTTTGTTTTTTTTGGAGGTGGCCATACAAGCATTGCTTCAGGTCTCCATTAATAAAATTGTGTTAAATAAATAAATAAATAAAAAAGGTTGTTTCTATTGGTGATGAGTGGTTGGAGATGTTTGGGGAAGCAAGGTACATAGTTTTGTAATTTTCCAACACGATGGGGAAAGGTGTATTTGTTTAACATAACGGTGGGTTGTAGCCTCTTGAGTGTTCTACATTTCATGTCAGCATGAATTAGATATTGAAGACCTTCAGTGAGGTGCGGATTGCTGTCATGAACACAACAGCTAGTCCAACAAAAGATTATAAAGATTCATTATTGATCGTATAAAATTGTGTAGCTCAAATTAAATAAAATGAGTTTTGCTCGAGATAAAGGATGAAGATGCTGGATAAAAAATGTTTTACATGAGACAGTTTGAACACTTAAAGCTTTATATCATCAAAAATTTATATTCTACAAACAGACGCAATAAACTTTTATTTAAAAAATTTTTTTCAAAAAGACTTCAATGTTAAATATTAAAAGTTAACCTTATCATATGAGATAGCGTCAAAAGAAGTTGTTATGTTATCAAGGTGGATGATGGCAGTTGAAACTGCATGGGATGTGTTTAAGGAATCTTTGGTCATGACAGGGTGAATGTAGCTGACAAGCTGCAAATCAAACTGAAATAATATCGATTAATAAAAAATTAGTTGCATACATAATTTTTAGCATTCATTTCAATTATTAGTTTTAAAAATTATTTTATAATACGTATATAAATCTTACCACTTTCCAATTTTTTTCAAAGTGATCAAGAGCTAAAAACATAAGCGTATTGGCGAATCCTTCATTAAGCCACAAGTCGTCCCACCATTTCATCGTCACCATATTCCCAAACCACTGCATTCAAGTTCATCAAATATATCCTCATTTTATTGGGTTCTAATTATAATTATTTCTCCGCTATTTAATGATATTCATATATAAGTATTGAAATTTCAGACAGTTCACATTAGTTTTCTCAGATTTTGCGTTCCAATTTGATTATGATTTAGGTGAAGGGTCTTCATTCAAACGTTGAAACATTTTTGAAAATTAAGGGCTTGTTTTATAAAACTTAAATTTTAAAAAACTAATTAACTAATTTTATAAAACTAATACTAATTATATTATTATTAATCTATTATTATTCTATTATTATCATTATTATTATGATCATTACAATCATTATCACCATCGTCATTATCATCATCGCAACGGTTGTAGTTATTGCAGCATCATTTTTTGGGTAGGTTGGATATTAGAGACAAGGGGGTCGTTGGGGTTGAAGTCCCCACAACAGAAATTTTGTTAAAGTTAAAATGAAATTAAACAAAATCTTTGTATAAATTGGAAACAATTTGAACAGAAAAATATTTCAGCTTCCACAGCAATAAAACTATGTTAAATTTTGCACAAAAACAGCAAACTTGGGGGTACATCCTTGTGTACGCCACAGTGAGATAAGGATTGAATGAGTGGAGAGAGAGTATGGAATAGGTTGTTGGGACAGGACGATTAGTCGTTGGGGTATTAAAGGGTGCGATGAAGGAAAATTACGCAATTGATTTAGTTATTATTGTTTCACAGGCACATTTATAAATAAATGCAAAATTTGCATGAACTATTTGATAATATGGTTGAAGCAGGCATCGGCAAACCAACTTTTAAGCCATCACACCGTCGTTCAAATACTTCAAGAATAATTAAACAGTAAGACCATGAAACGTTGTTGTTTAATTGTAAACAACTTAGGAAAAAATGAAACAACCGAGTGAGAAATCTCGTGCGCCATGACAAGCGAGACCCAGTACATGTTGGGGATGGAGGAGCTGTTGTTGTCGTGCAGCATTGATGTTTCTCGGTAGAAAACTAACCCCCAGTTCTCCATGGCTCCGGCACTGAAGTCAGGCACTGCGACGTGATCTTCATGGTGGCGTTTGGAGTTTTTAATAATTTACTAAATTATAATTATTGATTATTTGATTATAAATAAATAAATATAAATAATTAACGTGATTTTATTAACTGTAATATTTTTATATTACAAACAAAATGTTTACATACAGTTTAGTGATATGTAGATGATGATGATAAAATACACAAATAATAAGGTATGTAGTATTTGTAACGTTTGCATGCTTTTTAAGATGTAAAAGACGTCCAACAATTAACGAGGGTAGAATAGAATAGTACGTAGAATTAAGTAAAGTATTGAAAATAGCAGTGAAGTGAAATTAGTGGGATAAGATTGGATATGAAGGAATACCATGCATAACAAACATTTTTTTCAAAAGAGATAAGTGGAATCAAATGGATATATGTATTAGGATGAGATTGTTTGAAATAAGATTGTTTATTAGATGATAGGATGGGACGGGACGGAATGGAATGGAATGAAATACGATGAAAAGGAATAAGTGAAACGGATTGTGATGGTAAAATACAGAATAAAATGGATTAAGATGATTGTAACGAAAATGAAAGGATCGATGTTAAAAAAGGAAAGGTGTAGATTCAAAATTTTTAGGTTGGATGGAATAAGATTGAATGAAATTACAAAAAATAATTTTTGTCTAAAATCTTCTAGCTTTCGTTTTTATTTTATTTCTATTTTGATTATTTCGTATTTGTTTTTTTTCACAAAATGAATTCCTATTTATGGTCACATGTGGTTATTTTACAATTTTTCTTTGCCTTAAAGACAAACCTCAATTTCAACATTTAGCCAAGGCCTAGCTTTTGTTTATAATTCATATGTACAAGTGCGTATCTAATGTTTAATGGAGCTTTCACCCGAACGAGGTTTCGCCGAGTTATGGAAGATTCCTCCGATTAAGTTTTTTTATGTTATTACAATATTCGCCGATGACACTCTCACCAGAGGTTTTTACAGATGATGGCTGAGATTATAAGTTTGTATAAAAACTTAAAAACTAAACGAAGTGCATTTGGGTTAGTGTATGTGTGTACGTTTGTCCTCAAATGTGTCTGTGCACGTCTGTATCACAAATGACCAATGATGGTCGGTATATTGATATGCACGCATATGCACGAGGATATTTATTTATGTTTTTACGGTTTATTAAAATGTAAATATGAATACACGTATTAATTTTTTTTATTTTCATAAAATTTTATGAATATTTTTATTCTTTGTAATGAAATTATGTCAAACGCAGAGCTGCATACATGTTATTTTACTCCTATTTAAATTTTCGTGCCAAAAGGCTGCACCTCCCCTACACTATGCACACGACACGACGCACGCACGAATTTGATGATTGGGTGTTAATAAAACAAGAAGAAACTCAAATACTATAACTTGTTGGCATTTTTGCAATGGTTTTCACTGATAGGTTCCATTTAATTTACTTAGTTTTGCATATATTAATAGTGAATTGAATTAACAGTTATATTGATGATAATAAACCATAAAAACATAATAATAGCAGTAATAAAAGTTCTTGAGAAGTAAATTAATTTATCAATAATAAATTTTTCCAATCAGCTGGTTACTTTAGCACCGCACCTGTTTTTGTCACAACTTCGGAACAGCCAAAGTAGTCAGAAAAGAATTCGTATGTTTTATTTACAAACTCCAAAGCGTAACTCGTCTGTTCTTCCAAATCCCTCCTCGACCATACTTGAATCTATCAATTATGAATTACAAAAAGTTTGTTCGCAAATTTATTTGTTTTTTTGGATTTGCAATAAGTAATAAGTTTTTATTTTCAGGGCATTCCTGCCAAAGACAAGAGTAAAGTTATTCTACATTTATGCTTTTAAAACGTACTGAAAGATAATAATATTGTTTGCTTGCATTATTGTGCACTGCCGTTTGGGCTGTAGATTTTTTTGCTGCGTTGCGAAGATTCAAATTTCATAGTTGGCGAATTTCATAAAAAATGGAAACTGCTGCTTGAAAATTGTTTTTAAATATTCAATCAATTTTAAAATAATGTAAAGCGTATATACAAATAGCTACACTATATAGTTTAGAAGCAATTTAAAAGCCCAAAATTTGTAGGTGCTCCACTGATTCATTCAACCTTCAAATAATGCCGACATCTGAATTGGATGAAGTTAAAATTACCTTGAAGCCGTTACTGTTTTCAATACTTTTATTGACAAAATCAGCCACCAAGAAGGCGAGCAAGTAGGTTGACATGATTGGAGTGTCGTGGAACTCCACTAGGACCGCCTCACCATCGAACGTCCTCCTTCTCACCGCCATGTTGGATAGCGCAGTGTAATCTGAAATATTAGCAAATTAAATAAATATAATTGTTTATCGATAATTTTGTCATTAAATCCGATAAAATATAATTAGTATTTGGACAAAAACATAAAACATAATAAAATAATTAAAAAAAACTGCGTAAGGATTTTCGCGGTCGATAAAACGTGATAAACATTGAAATACTTCTATGGTGACGGATGGCGACGGCAAAGACCGCCTTCATGTCTGGCTCGTCGAAACATGGAAAGACCCTCCTGGCATCTGTCGATTGCAACTGAGACACTGCCAGGTACCTGCCGCCCGATCATTTATGCTTCACATCAAATCGCATCAACATTATGTTGTATGCATAATAGCAAATATTTATATATGATAATTAATATAATAATAATATATTAATAGAGAGGTTGAGAGGTTAAAGGTCTTTTGTACATATGCTTCAGAGCTTTCAACGACAATCACAGGGTATAGAATAAGCGTGAAAAGCACGCATCATACACGTTGCATATGATTGGCGGGGATCTCTCTGTTTTCGAAACCAGTCACTGCAACGGCAGGACCAGGCTCCTTTAACCACTAAGCCATCACGCCAACTATTGTCCTTAGTTTAAAATTGAATCATTACATTTAGGCAAAATGATCACATAAATAGAACTGTCATTTTGTACAGCCCCATAGCAAGCGACTGTGTTTTGTACGTAAGCAAGGCATCCACACACTTTTGCACTTGATAGGGGTTTCTTTGCCATCGAACCAGGTCACTGCAAGAGCAATACGACATGCCAGGCATCTTAACCGTGACACCATCGCACCGCTAATAAAGTGCCAATTGCGATGTTGAATGCAACTTTGTAAAAACTATAAAATGTGTTCTGGGCAAACCCATCATTAGCACGCCTTGTCTTTAACTTATATATGTTCAATATTTTTCGTTCTACAAAAAACAAAGTTACAAGCAAAAAAAGAAATAAATTTTACAGTTATTTTTACCGCAATTAAATAACAAACATTTCTTAAAGTTAGTTGTCGAAAAATTTTTTCTGGTTTCTGCAGAAGCGAACATTATGATGAACGCTTTAAATTCTAAGTTCATTTTATTTTCTTCAATATATTGAGCAATACCAAATTATAACAAAGCTTTACCACAAATTATAACGGTTGACGAATTAGCTCAGCCGGTAGAAGTGATATGTCTCGTGCAGTTAGGCGATGCCCTGGTTCGAATACTGTTGGTCCGAAACTCAAAGACTATCATACGCCATGCGCGTATGATGCGCGTGTATACATAATGTATTTGTACGTCGTTACATTGTATGGTCTGGATAGTACATTCTCTGTGGTCCAAAGGTTTAAATACAGGAATGATATGCAAGCGGTTCTGCGTATGTCAGAGCTGCATGATAAAGAACAAAAAAAGCTGTTGGTAATTTTGGGTCCATTTTTGTTTCATGAACGACCCCCAAAAAGTTGCTACTGTTAATATTTAGAAACAAATTTGATGTGCAACTTAAATTAGGAAAAACTCCAGTTATAAAAAATGAATTAGTGGACAAAAACATGGACAGATTGTGGACAGATTATTTTGTTACCATAAGTCTAAGAAGTTTTCATGCTTATAAGAATAAAGATGTGAAGCGCTTTTAATACGTTTAAATTTAAAGAAATACTTATATTCATATTTTCCCCTTGTTCAAAAATACCGATTTAAAATACCAAAAAAAACAAAATTTGACTAAGTTTTAATTGATTGTAATTTTTATTTAATTTATTGTGAAATAAATAGTTTGTTTTTATTTTACTGTTTTTGAATTATTTATTTATTTTTATCTTATTTTAATTGTTTTTCAAGAGTCCTAAATGAAACTGGCGCAGGCCACCCTTGGCCAATAACAAGATGCCTTCATTATTACAACAAAATGTGGTTACAGTAGGAATGCGACGGTTCAGAATTCTGACCCGAAATTGGAGTTTGGAGTCTAAACTAAATTGTGTATTTTCGTCTAAACTTTAGACAACTAGACAAAAACAATGTCAAGGCATCTTTATGAATGAAGTATTAAAAATGTAAATATGGAACAACATAGAGTTATATAATTTTTTTCCATTTTAATTGCGGTTAAATATATGCGGTGCAACATAAATGCTTCTAATTTTTACAGGAAACCTAAAATAAATATCACATATTTTGTTATTTAATTCCAAATAAAAAAACGCATAAAAATAAAATGAAAAGTTAAGTTAACTATTTACTTAGTGCTTCCGTCAAAGGATTGATAACTGCTTCGGTAGAGACCTTTCAACTCGTCCCCTAATATTCCACTAAAGTTTCTAAATTTGATTATGTAACAGCTGTTTTTAATTAACATGTCGACAGTTTGAATTGCGTACATTTCGTTGGAGCCGTTACTGTACAACCGACTTATCGCGATAGATTCGTGAGGAAAATTTTTTTTCACCACTTCAACGGACGAGTTTTTGATGTGAATGGCAGTCGCATGCAAAATAATCCAACTGGTGTTTTCGTGCACTTCAACCAGAATGTCAACGGACCCGTGGAAAACAAAATCTACCAAGTTGATGTCTAAGCTGATGTTGTAACGAGTGGGGTTGATGGTCCGAGGCAGCCTCAAATGGGGCCAGGGTTCAAAGGGGGATATTTGATTGTCCGCTGAGTTTTTCTTGTTCAGAGTGGAATCTTCAGTTGAATCAACGTTGTTTTTACTGGTCAGTTTGTCCGTGATCGTTGATATGAGTGGTGGCAGGTTGTAGCAATTTAAAATATTTGTAAATAAAAGTGCTGTTAAAATAATTATTAACAAAATGCAAAATATCAATGCGCCAGCCATAACAATAATGTTTGTTTTGTATTTCAATTCCAAATTTTTATTTGAATCATCAACAACTGCATCGATTTCTGCATTTGATTTGGTCGAAACAACTTTGTTTTCAGAAGCCATATTTGTATAAATAATAGGAAAATATATTTAAAACAGTAAAAATATTTAGAAATGTTGTAAATAAAATTGAAAAACTGAATTTTTGGAGCACAAGTACTATGAACGATGCTGTGAGCTCGTGATGGACATGAAAGAAAGCATAGCTCCTGCTTGCTTACATGCTCCATCCAGTTCAACGCGTCCATCAGGTTTCTATCTTGCGCACGCAATTAAGTGCCTGGTTGGCTGGTTGTTCCACGCACACATGCACGCCTTGTAGAAGCACGTGAATGTGTGCGTGATGAAACGATATATTGATTGATCCATCTATCTATCTTTTACTGTGAGTACGTGCGTGTGTTTGCGTATATGTATATGTTTGAAGGTCATGCTACATGCTGTTTTCAATCAGACAAAATAAAAATATATTAAAATAATTAAAATTATTTTTGTATTTGTAATATATATATATATATATATATAATATATATATGTGTGTGTGTTTGTGTGTAGTATATATATAAATTTATATATATATATATATATATATATATATATATATATATGTATATATATATATACGACCAACCGACGTAATATACATACATATATATATATATATATATATATATATATATATATATATATACATTCTCTTGTTTACGTGTTTCTGAATTAAATTTATATATATATATATATATATATATATAATATCGTATTTTTTACAGTTTTTAAAAACAGATATACAGTTAACAAAAGACATCCTATAATAAATATTCAAAAAGGGTAAGGGTAATTCTTCATACCAATAAATTTAGAAACAGAAGTATCATCGATAATGAAAACACGTAAAAGTGTTATATTTAACGAAGTTGAAGATTGTAAAACTAAGTATTCACTTTAAAAAAACAAGGAATCAAAAAAGTAGAGTAGAGGCACAGTATATATATATATTTGAGTATCTGGGCACAAACACAACATATCAATTTGAACACCGAAGATGGTATAGGAATACCGAAAAAAGTATTTTCGTTTTGACTTAAAGAAACTTGAAATTGATTTACGATCAACCGTTAGAAACACCAAAAAGTTTAACAGAAAAACAGAAAGTTAACTAACGTCGTACGTGTTGTGATTTTCATCAATAATTGCATTTATGACAGTCTTAATCCAATATATATATATATTGGAAGTTAGAAGAAGACCATATTTTATACAGTATTGTGTGGATTCTACCGAATTGTTGGCATTAATCAATTTAAAATTTGTCTTTTTAATTTTCTTTACTAGAAATTTTTGGAAATTGCTCAATCTATTAAAAATAAAATTATATTCCAAGTTTATTATGAAAATTTATTAAAACTGCTGTTATCCAAGTTCATCATGCAGATAGGCTTTGAGTTACAAGCTAAAGCCAAGAAAAAAAGAGACAGTTTTCAGAGCAAACATCTTAGAACAGCCGCAAAGGAATTGAAAGAAAATGAAGAAATTGTCATTCGCCGTAAAGACAAGTCCAATAAATTTGTGGTCCTAGATAAAATTGACTACAACACAAAAATCGAACACTTTCTTAACGACAGCACAAAATTTCAAGCAATCACAAAAAACCCAACTCTTCCCTTCACTTCAACGCAGTAATAAGAAAAATCAACAAAAACATACCACAAGAATAAATCTAGCTACTCCAAGGCAAATTCTCACTTGGATACACCTCTATGGCAACATCAAAACACACAAAAATAACAACCTCCTTCGACTTATCACCAGCCAAATCCTGAGAATAACATACCCTATTGCAAATTGTCTAAATAAAATTCTGACCTCATACATTCCTAATAACTAAAACCTCCAATCCTCACGAAAATTTATCGATCTATTGAACACTAACAAACCATCAAATCATATTACTTCGCTGGATGTCGAATCCTTATTTACAAATGATCCCATTTATGACACAATTAATATCATTATCAATAGTGTTTATCATTCAGACATAGCCCTCTTAAAAAATACCAAAAACACATCTCAAATTTCTTCTCCAAATCTGCACCAACAAAAGCACCTTTCCACACTCCCCACAGGCAAACTATACAAGCAAATTGACAATGTAGCCATGGACTTACCACAAGGCGTCCTGTTTGCAAATTTCTTCTTAGGACATCATGAGAGCAAAACGTTTAGAGACAATCCAAATTTAAAACCAAACATTTATGCCAGATGTGTTGACGATATCTTCGTCGCATACGATGATCAGGAACAAGTCAAGAGAGCTCCTAGCAACCCTGAACCAGTCAAAATTAAATTTCATTATCGAGCAGGAAAGTGAAAATTCATTGATATTTCTGGATGTTTTAGTAACGCATGACGAACAAAGATTTATAACTGCCATATATGTCAAAGCAATAAATAAAGGTATTTGTCTAAATGGGCTAAACAAATGCCCGGAACAATTCAAAGTAAGTATTAATACAATAATACAATGCATTCACGCAATCGTTCTCAACTAAAGATCGCAATACAGAACTTAGAATAATTACTAATTTACTAGTAAGCAATGATTAAAAAACCTTAACCACTGAAAGCACCATTCAACAAAGACAACAGCAATAGAGGAATATATTCAAAACAACATAAATACGCTTTCATCACACTCACATATATGCATATATATATAACTAACATATATTATATATATATATGTATTAAAAAATATCACTGCGTTTTCAGCTTTCACCAGTTTCTGGTTAAGTTTCCAATATTTTTAACCGTATTTTTTATCATTGTTTTTTTAACTTATTCATATAGAAAACAAAACATTTTGAATATTTTTCTATTCATTATACAGATAAAGCGTTTTCTCGGTAATCTTTAATCATTTTCAGTGAAGTACGTTATCCACTATTAGTTGTATCTTATATATACCTATATCTGAACGTTCCTAATTTATTGAAGTAAATCTTTTTTTATATATTATAATAAATAAGTTCTGTATTTATTGAAATAAATAGATTTAAAAACAATGATAACAACTGATCAAATATTAATGAGATATTATTTATCAAGGCCGAAAATGCAGTTATTTTCTTAATAATTGTCTCAAACTTAATTATATATATATATATATATATATATATATATATATACATGTAAGCATAAAGGCGTGTTTGTGCGCTTGTGTTGTGTGTGTAAGTATATTACAGGCGTTCACTTTTTAAATGTTCAAGATCTATTTAACCAAGGCGATCTCGTTTTATTTATTTTTTTCTATTTTCTGGGCTTTGTTGTTTGTTTGAATGGACGGATAATTGGGCCCGAAAAAATAAAAAATAAAATATAGATAACAGAGGTCGGCATTTTTTTTTTGGTTTAATTAAATTTTTTTTGGTTTAATTAAATTTAAAAAGTTTAAAGTTCATTCGTTATATTGCGTGGTTGAGCTTCATACACATGCACCACCTAAACTGCTGATGGTCACAATTTAATATAATTTCATTTCATTAGATTTGATTTAATTCTCTACACAGTTCAAAGCCTACAGTAATTAAATTTGTGCCTGTCACTATCACTACAGTGCCATGACCGCGACGTTCAGGCAAAACAAAACATGTCCTCGCCTTTGCAGTTAGTTTTTTCTCTTTGCCACTTCTCTAGTTTATTGGTTATGTCGATCAGCCGAATGTAAACAGTAGAAATGTAAATAAAAGATAGAAACTAAAAATTTACTTTCGAGTTGGTTTAGTTTTTTTTATCACATGAATCATTTGATAACACTTCTTCCTTTTCTTTGGTTAGCATTCTTGAAATTGCATCACAATATAAATATTACGTTACCAAACATTCATGACGTTAATGATCAAAAAATTTGTTGATATGTTAGAAATAAGCAAGATAATAATAACAGTAAACACTTGAAAGTATTCTCCAAAAGGAATATTAGAAGGTGTGTGAATGTTCAGATGGGAGAACTTAGTGGAAAGAGAGACTGAGGTTGATCGATGAACAGTCAATCTGTCTGCATCAGGTTTGCCACATCAAAATTAGAAATGCTTGCAAATAGATTATGGAAAAGTGAAGAACCGCACGAGATTGATTATGTTTATGGTCGTATTTGGCTCCATAGTTTAGAACTCTCACGTTATTTCAACCAATCAGCAACTGGAAACTGTTTAAAAAACAAAAATGTAACTTTTTGATAGTATTTTTATTAAATTAATTAAAACTTTTGGTTTGTTAATTGTTGAAATGCAAGCAGAAGAGATGTATGCGTACAAAAAGGCAAGTTTCAAGCGACCCACGATTTGAAAACAAGATGCAGGAGAGTGTGAAGGAGCGTTTAGTGGCAAATTCTGTTTTCGATCCGATCGCTCTCAACGATTCCTCGCATTTGTCGAGTTTGTGAGTTTAAATGCATATTTCTAAATAACACAAGATTTTTTTATTAAATAGCCTTACTAAAATAAAATTATATATACTGACAAAACAATAGGGTATAATTTTTTAATTCTTTATAAACTAGACCTTAATTTTAAGCTAACAAAAATGAATTATTTTTTCGAAGAAGACAAAACGCAACAAAAAGAAATAAAACAGCAAGCAATCAAATGAATGTTACAGAAGTCGTTGAGAAACTTTTCCAACTTCACATTCAATTCATAAATAACCTGAGGACCAGCAAATCAAACAAAATCATCATCGAAGAAAACGTTGAACAAAATTACTTGACTTTCGCCGAGCCTGGGAGTTTGAAAGGAGAAAAAATATTATCCCTTATTAAAGTTAGCTCTTGTGGTGCTAAACATTTTAGTTGAATTATTATATTGCGAAAGTTTGAATTTATTTTTTGTGGGTTTTATTTTCACCACCCTGGTTGTTACGGCAAAGCATTCCCGTGTTCCTCTCTCTCTCTCTCCCTGGAACTCACGTTCATGCCGGTTGTGACGAAATCAAATAAATGGATTCAGACTAATTCAATGTAACTCGCCAACTATTTTAAAATTTCAATTATGTCGTTCTTCATAAACACATTGACAAGTGTCTAGTCAGGTGTCAACCCGTACCCCCGTGCAAGACCGAAACTCTGGCTGATACATATTCGCACATCAAGGTTAAAGATCTATTGCACTCTTCTTAGGTTTTGAAAAATCAACGACACACAAACAGCGTTTATGAATACCTGTCGAACGACGTATCTCACACGAAGCATGTAATAGAAATAAATGGTTGGACGACATTATCAAATGGACTAAGATGGGAATATTGAAATCAAAAAGAGGAAAAATTTTTGAAAGCTTGAAGGAAAGGTGGACGGCGTTCACCTCAACGGTTCCCATAGAAACTAAAAAAGATCACAATAATCATCATTTTTTAAATCTTTATCTCTTAAATCATCATCTCATAAAATAATCTCATACGATAAATTTTTTTCTCATAAATCATCTTATAAATTGTTACCTTGAAAATCATCTATGAAAAGACCATTTTTTTTTATAAACTATCACCTTATAAATCACCAACCCAAATCATCATCTCATGAACCCTCTTATGAAAATATAAATTACCATTTTCCGTACGATCACCCGACATTAACAAGTTGAACCGACTGCGCACGTGGTTTTGTAGGACAGTGATTTTATGAATAGATTGATTTGATTCCATTTTGACGTTTTTGTTCGAATCGAAAAACGAATGTATGATAATTGTTAAATTTGCCAGGTTCCTTTCGATGTGTTAACGCAGGACAAAAACTTAACAACTCTCTGCAAGTCTATACAAAGTGATCAGGTGAGATTGTTGTGGCTTCGAAAAAACGAAGAAGATTTCAGTTCACCTGGCATTTTATCGGTTCGCACTCCGACGACGTTTTACGTGGCTCCTTTCCCGGATGACGAAAGGTCGCCGGCCGGACCTATCAGACGCGAAACATCACGACCCTGGAGGCTGAGGAAGCATTCTATTCATGTAGGCATACATCATCACCGCTCTGTCAAGTGGTGTTTTTTTTATGTAATGTAGTTTCAGAAACAATTATTTTTATATGTTTGATTTTAAAATTTAACGAACGAAATTTTTTTTAAGAAAAACATTAAAAAAAAGGAATATTTAAAAATGTGCCAGCAGTCACCTGTTCATTTTATTGATGACAACAAAGAAAACAAGTCTAAGAAAAAAGGTTTCGGTCATATAATATTTAGTACTACTGCTAAACTAAAACAACTGTTGCTAATGCTTTAATTTTGACATCTATAAAAATTTTTTCCCACATTTTAAAACAATTTCAGAATCTTCAAAATATCTAAAAGAAAAAATTAAAATATTCAAGTTGAACGTTTCTGCTTCGGAAGACAGTTTGGTCAGGTAATCTGCAGTTAACAACATTTCAAAAGAAAACATTGAATGGTTAAATTTTCATTTCAGAAAATGTGAATCATGTGAAATTGCCCACACGGTTGGTTTGAAATATTTATTCTATACCAAATACCATCAGCATGTTTTTAGCACATGTAAAAAGTCAATTTTTTTTGTTAGAACTAAAATAATTACTAAGAGTTAAGTGCTGCTGAATAAACATGAAGATGTGAAAGTTATAGAGATTTCAAACTTAAAAACAGTTTTTAATTAATAAAATGACAGCTATTCAATGATCAATTCGAAATTGATAGCTTTAACTTTTCTCAAATTCATTCTAACAAATGAGAATTACAAGTTTTTTTTTTATTAAAGCAGAGCAGTCTAATAAAAAATATTGCACACAATAGTTGTACCGCAAAAATACGTTAATCTTAAGCCGAGCAAATGTTTATTTGAATATGATATGAATGATTTAGCCGAATGTTAAACAATTTACTTTCTGCAAGACCAAAGTTATCGCAACTTCAAAAAGATTCGTGTGAGATCAATAAGTTTTTCGTAATCACAAAACTGTTTAACATTGCACTAAGTAAAACCATTACTTTTATTTGATAAATAATATTTGATGATGGAAGTTTGATACGATACGTGTATAGCGTTCAAATGATTACAAAGTAATTTTGTATTATCCATTGTTCTTAATCTTTGCAATTTTCTCTAATGAAAATCATTCCAATTATGAAAATTTGCTTCTAAACTATTTTTTATCAAATTATCCATTCAACATATTTTAATACGGCGAATTTCAATTGTTATTATTATTGTTATCATCTGAACATATTATATTGGTATTCCCACTGAGGCTCTCGCACGATATGAAGAAAAAGTATCACAAAGTGCCATCAAATTTTTATAATAATTCATTGAAATACGATTTGTTGCTTGTGTTTATTTCAGATTTATGAATTTTTCTACTTAACGGCGAATGAAAATAATTCGTACATTAATTATTCATTCTTATTGAATTAATTTTTAAAACTTCAACAACCACTATATAGAATACAAGCGTTGAACTGATTGCAAATCGAGAGCCCCATCATTATTTGGACTATAAATGTCGCTTTTTCGAAGATGTCTCGCCAACAAATTCAAGCCAAAAAGATGACTTACCTTTTAATAATGATTATGAAAATAAAACGACCGCTTTCAGTTTAATTTTGCAGAAAAATAACCAACAACAGGCTAACTATTTGCTGAACGAAGAGGAGAAAAGTGCAGTGGAGCAGAGCAACGCGTTGCTGTCTTATTCTGCTGGCGGGGAAAAAATGACGCGTGCCCGATGCAGCACTCCAGCTGGCGCGAAATCCTGCAACAGTCAGGAATATTATTCCACAAAAGTTCAACCGTTGCCTTATTTAATATTGTGTCCTCCAAAACCACGACCCCACCCTATCATAATTCACCCAACGCCGTGGATGGTTCAAAATAATGCTCAAACATTCATCACACCACTGTTATCGACGCCTATGTTCTTTCCAAGTTATCGAGCAATACCTAATCAAATAAATGTATCAGATCAAAATTCTTCCAAATGTATGCAATCAATCAATACGAACTTGCGATGTTTACCTAATTTATCAACAAAATTTGAAAAAATAGTATCGAAGGCTGACCTTTCAACAAACGACCGCCGCGCATGTTTGAACAAATCTGAAAATTTTTTTGCTGCAAAATCGTTGCAATCGCAACTCACGTATTTAACAAATTCTTCCTTTGTTTCATCTCAATTGGATATCAAGAGACTATCTAAAAAATTTGATCAAAGTACTCAAACTGAACAAACTGATAAGCAGAGCTGCCCCAACCATTTGCCGAGTCTTCATGTGCAACATATTGGCAAACAAGATATCAACGATCTTACAGTATCATTATCCAACGCCCAACAAACTTTCATGATGAATCATTATAAATTGAGCCAAACAAAAATGTCTGACATCAAATTTTCACTTTTACAAATGAGTAGAAGCACTTCGACTTTTGCTTTTCCGTTAAATTCGTTAGGAGGATCAACTCAAATTAAAAATTATGGGGTAAACTGTTTTCCAATTGTTCAATTTTCTTCAGTTAACAATAATGTTTAAGTAGTTGCAGGTTTTATTCAATTTTACTTTTATAAATTAATATAAAATTATTTTATGTTAGTAATTATATTGGTTCTTTTGATTAAGCTTTTGGTTACGTTCACCTTTTATATTTAAATGTTAAAGCATACATTAATTTGACGTGTCTAAATTCATTTGAAAAATGTTTACCTTACGTTAAACAATATATACCTATTCTAAAAAAATCTTCCAATATAAATTTTTGTTTTATTTTTAAAGTTATTTCAAATCTATTAGTCCTAGAAACGCTCTTTCAAATCTTCAGCAAAGATTTTCATTCTTTAGTTAGATCATACATATTGAATAAATATAAGCTACCTATATAGAATAATTTGGGCTGTCTTTTCCTCCAGCTTACTTTAATTTGTTAAAACGACATTAAACTTTTGGAAAACCAGTTTATAGTTGAATGATTATGACAAGAATAATAAGTAGAAAAAACAGTCAAAATAAGGCATTGTTTGTACATTCGTTATAGGAACACTTCGTGTTTATAAAAAACGCATCTGCAGTGTGAGAGTTAAGGATCGCAGTCTGAACCTGGAACAACCTGACAGAATAAACACATAAAATAAAGTTTTGTCACAATTCGTCAAATTTCGCTTTTTAATTCATTCTATTGAAATAAATTGTAAAATGTGTTTTTACTTCTTATAACAGATTAAATTCACATCATTTATTGACTGAATCAAAGACGTCAAAACTTTACATTGGTTTATTCATAAGTGTCGATTTTCCAACTTACATATCGCTTGAGTCAAAAACGCGGTCGTAAAATAATTCTCCATCAATAATGAAATTCATTTTTTGACATTTTACGAGATCATTTCATTGTGTTCCACCTCATTCCAGATTTTTTTCTCTTCAGTGCTGCTTTAACATACCCTTTTTTCATAACTCTAATAATTAATCGGAGTCATAATTTTCTAACTTTTTTAATGTATACTTAACGTTTTTCATGCAGGCTGATTTTTAACTTGTAACACTCCATTTTAAACGCTCACAATTTGTCTATGATCCTTATTGTCCAGATTTCGAATATACACAATATTACAAAAATACATAAGCTTCTATTATTTTAATTTTGTTTAAGACATTTTTTTGAATGCAAACACTCATGCAATAGCTATATGTCAATCTCCTTCGAACAGGTGTCACAGGTGGTGAGACTGGCCAAGTACAAAAAGTCAACTAATTTTTTGATTTTTTTTTTTGAATTCCACGCTTTTCACTTATTTTTTCTCGAAATCATAACTTGTTTGGTTCATGTTGGTATGCTGTCACTTGAACACCGAAAAAGCTTGAAAGCTCTCTCTCTCTTCCCAGGTCCAGAAGAATCAGAATGGTAGAACAATAGATATCATTTTATCTGATATCTTCTATAGTTTTCTCAATATCGGTCAATGTCATAACGAATTTTAAGAAAATAATAAAAAGTGACACCATTTTATTGATGAAACTGATTGGTAATAATACAATTAGAGGCACAAAACTTGACAAATTTAGTCGACTGATATGTGTTAACATTTATGCCAAAATTCAATCTAGTTTAATACATAAATACACAAATGTCGAACCAAGATAAGATATTTTCACCAATTTACAAAGCGACTAGAGTTTAACATCATGGTTGCAGTAAAAATTTTGTTAATGTTAATTTTGTGGTCAAATGATTCAATTATTTTTTGGCCGTACGCACACACGATTTTAATAGAAGTTAAAAATTGTAAAAAAATTAATTGACAAAATGTATATTAAGACACTTGAAAATAATACTGTAAATATATTAAGCAATAACGAAAATTAGTTAAAATTGTTCAATCAAAATAAAGCAACAACAGGTATGAGGAATGACTGAATTAAATTCTGCCTAATTTATACTTACAGTAAGACAAACAGGCAATCTGGGAAATTATTTATTGCAAATAAGGCAGAGTTGAAGTTCAAACGTAGAGTGACTCGGAGGTGGCTGTTGCTTGCGTTGTTGGAGCGTTAACGATCATGCTGTCGACATCTATTTCCAGGAGTGTACACGGTTGGATGATGTGTGGAGGTGTGAGACCAGGTGATGTTATTGGATGATTTGATGCAATATTTGTCATATTCAAAGATTCGCCGTCCTTTAGGCCGTTGTGAGTTGTCGACATCAAATTTAATGTGACAGGTCGAACTGGAGCAATTGTTTTTATTTCATTTTCAAATTTTGCAAAATGCTGCTTCGTTATTTCGTTTTGCGAATTAACATCCGTTTGATTATGCGGATGAATGAAGTTAGGTTGGAGATGAGTGGGATCTATATCATTGGAGAAATGAATGCTTTCAACGTAATTATCTTCACCACTCGAGTGAGTCCGGGAACTTTCTTCGCTGTTTTCCAGCAAAAACCTGCCGTCGTCCATTATCAAGAACTCAGCGTCAGACGTGCACACTACATTGCATTTTGCTGAACAGTTTAAATTCTTCCCAACATCATCATCATCATTATCATCATCATTGTTATCGTCTTCATCATCATCTTCATCTAAAGTGGCGTAGGAGTGAGATTTTTTCTCGACGAAGGCAACATTCTCCATGGAGACATCATCGGACAACAAATGATCCTTCAGAGAGCAACAACAGTTGTCTGTTGAACTCTGCACAGATTGTGTTGGTGTGTTGGCACCGTAACTGGTCCGAGATTGAATGGCTGTGCGAATATCATAGCCCACTGCCACAGACGCCAAGACGGCAGTGGCCTGAATGAGCGCTCTTTGCGGTCGCATGTTGTCGGAAGCTTCCTTCGCGTTGTTCGTGCCCAATGAAGTAAATCCCATTTTTTTGATGTAAGACAGAATGAACCTCTCGTCACCATCTGGTTAGTTACACGTACAAAATGGTTAATAAGTCTGAAGTTTAGTAGTGATTGGAAAAAAATTCATTTGATCCTATTTAGAAACTTATTAATTAACTTTCCGGTTATGATTAACAGAGAGAATAAAAAGCTAATAATGTATCTTGATGTATATCCTACCTTTAATACTTTCAAATAAAATAACTGCTGTCAATTAATGAAATTGAGAAATGATTTGAGTTATGCAGAAATCATCAAATTCATGATGAAATTTATTTTGCTTATATCGACTTGATTTAACAGATCTTGGATACTTTGTGAATTTTTTACAAACTTACATTTGATACTCATGTCAAGCAAGCAAACAAACAACAACAAACAAACAAACAAATAATAAACAAATAAGCATATGAACAAATAAAAGATTGCACGAACGAGCGAAAAAATAACCTGACGATTTGTTGAGATGTGACGATTGGCGTGATATACAGTTTGAACTAATGATACTATTACTTGATGATTTCTTGTTCAAATGACTCAAGGACGTTTTGTTCAAATTTGGAGCGCTTCTACTCCAATCAAACTTCCGAAATGTCATCTTTCTTACTTTCTTATTTGCAATGCTGGGTCCCCAAGTTTGTCGCGTCATTGAGTTTTTGCTAGGACCTGTCGTATAACAAAAATGAGAGAGTACGGTACACAGACTAACAACGGTATTTTTGAGTGATATTTTTAAATAAAATAGCGAATGTATTTGTTCACGATAAAATGACAATGCAGACTCTTAGAGGTCCACACCTACAGCCCCACAAATTGAATTGAGAGGTTGAAACTGAAAACTCGCAAAATCATCCCACCATAGGAGGGAAGACATTGATTCTTTATGAAACAGTTCTATCGGATACCGGAAGAAAAAGTCAGTACTCGGTGGTTTGCGTGTTACCAGGAAGATTCAATAACAATTATGTAAGTTTATGGTTGAATAAACGGATGAAGAACGATATTTCCTCCTCTAATAATTATTGTCCGCGATTATTTACTAAGCTCTGAGAAAAGACCAAGCTAAAAATTTTTATACAATATTCTCGGCTGAGCCAGCACATGAAAATTTGCTCATATAAAGCAGAAACAAATGAAACGATCTTACTAGACTGTATGCTTAGAAATTATATTAATACTACTGCAATTCTCTCTTGAAGAGTGTAATAGACTTTTAACCTTTTAACCTTCTATTGCCTAGAGCCACCCGATCTTTTATTAAAAAACTACAGACCGTTCAGAATAGAACTGCCAGACTCATTCTCAACGAACCTCCTCCCCGCTCCAGTCATCCATTATTGTTCCTATGCTGCATTCACTTCCTCTTTCTACTCGCATTTTTTAACAAAATTGCAGTCCTATCCTAACATTTCAAATCACAACGACAAAACTTCAGTGCACCTACACCAACCAAATGTTCCACATCAACACCAACTCACGCTGTCACCATCAACATCATCTCACCTTATCATCATCATCATCATCATCGTCATCTCACAAGAATCATTATCATCCCACATAAACATCACCATCATACATCCTCATCAAACATCATCGTCATCATCATCACCATTATACATCATCTTATATCATCTCACATCAACATCATCTCACATCACCGCCATCTTGCAACATCGTCATCTTACATACGTACATCTTACATCATCACCACCATCATCACCACCACAACTACCGCCACTATCATCATCATATCTCACATATGCATCGTCATACATGGACATCACTTCATCACCATCATCTTCACCTCACACCAACATCATTTAACCGGCAGGTCAGAAACGTGTTATTAAATTTTATTATGATTATTATCGATTAAAAGCTGTCCAAATGATGTGATCAATTGAGCAGGAAACTAACAAGCAATGGTGAGTCTCGGCAGGAAGTCAGGGGAAACCGGTGGACTGATTGGACTTGGTTTTTCTTGTTGAACTGTAAAGTTGTGTCTGAAGTCTGTTGGGAAACAAGGTGATAAATCTAAAGAGATAATAAAATCTAACAGATAACAAATCTTCAATCGAAATGACAGCAGTCAAAACAGTTAAACGTTATATAGAACATTCTTACTTAAGAGCGTTTCACTCAGAATTTGATTGATTGGTTGAATGTTTGGTTGGTTGATTGTTTGGTTGGTTGATTGTTTGGTTGGTTGATTGTTTGGTTGGTTGGCCAATCAACTGAGGCTTTCTTTATAATAGATTAAACCCATTAAAACAAAAACATGAAAAGATAAGATAGCGATTAAATGTAAATCGAACGTACATACCAGACGGTTCACTAATATTTTTCCCCCCGCCAGCCTTCAATTTTTGCAAGCGACTTTTCCTGAACTTGCCCTTGCGTTTTTCAGGCTTGTTCATGCACTGCTGCTTGATGAGCACTTGAATTTCACGCTCCACCAAGTCCAACTCCCTGCCCAAAAGTTCCCTCTCTCTTCTGTGCAGCTCCTCCTCATGAAGTTTCCGTTGCTCCAATGCTTTGTTCAGTTCATCTTCGAGCAAGTGCAACTCCTGCATAATTGTGTGAAATTAATCTGAGAACTTTAAAAAGATTTATTCATAAGGGGTTCAACATCTTAAATTATTTTCAACAACGTTTCACTGCCGTACTCCTTTAATATTTTAATTTTTGAGACTTTTAAGATATAACAGTGAGCCTTAAAGTCAGCAAAAATTTTCGGCTGTGAATGAAATGATGCAAGACAAAAAAATTGACGCTTTGGTGGTAAGTGAAAGCGGACATTTCACCTCCGCATATGTATCTCTGCATGGTTCAACAACGGAAGGTCATAAATTTTTGAGGCAGCACGAGAGCTGGCAGACCCTCCAGGCGTTCCATCTGGCCCTCACGGTGGTGGTGGTGTCCTTCTTTTGAAAAATTATTTTGGACCTTCCAGGTTGGATCTATATTTTCGTCCGAAAACCTTCGAATATCTGAGCATTACAACAATCCAAAACCCTAAGTCATAGCGTATAGACCAGGTTCGTCTGCAATTATAAAAGCATACTTCGACGAATTTCGACTGTTTCTTGAGCTCCTTACTGTTCTCAATGGCCATGTAATCGTCATGGGTGACGTCATCACTTCCAACACTGCTCTCCTCATTCGGATATCAACAAGACCTAAATTCGTCAACGCCAGTGAAAGGAGATTATGGCATCCCCTCCAGCTCGTCATTTCTTTAAACACGTTCGGAACTACAGAAAGATTGATCATACTAATTTAGAGATTTATCAAAAACATATTTATACGTATCAAGACAGATATGATTAAGTCTGAAAAATCATTTGCTTAACCTCCCTCAGCAAAGAAAATGAGATGCACATTATAAATTTTGTACTACAAAACAATAGAAAACAAAAGTTTAGTCCAAACTAACTACAATGAAGCTATGACAATAAAAATACGATATGTTACTTTTTCTTTTTGTCTCAACTCTTGAAATCTTTCTTCAATTTCTCGATGCCAGTCATCTTGCATCATTTGGAAATTTTCGTTTGAAGTTTCCACAAATGATGAATCAGCAATTGATTCGAGAATGGATATGATGTTACGAAATGTCGGTCGGTTGTGAGCTGCGGGCTGCCAGCACCCTGCAACACGAAATCACTTAATAAAAAAATAAAGGCTGCAATTTTCTAAAAATGTTTATTTAAAATTAGTTTTAAGCGGAGCTAGGTAAGATTGCAATTGCGATTGATTCTGATTAAAAATTATCTTTAATCTTTAAAAACACATAGTTGTAAAAATAAAATTTAACGTTTCAGCAGTTGATACAATAATTTAGGAAAGCAGATAGAATAGAAATACTTTGAAGAAGATCTTTGAAGCTTTGAGGACAGGAATCAGGTATAGGCAACTTCAAAGTGTTGTTCCCAACTCCATAGAGGATGGCTGCAAAGTTGAAGCCCTCGTACGGCGTCTTCCCAGTAAGTAATTCCCAAAGTACAACTCCATAACTGAAAGTTTGAAAAAACTTCAAGAAAGATGCGGTTATAAATAAAAATTATTTATATTTTTGAACAACGTTAAACCTAGAAGGCATGAAATATAGTAACAAACCTCCAAACATCGCTGAATTTAGAAAATTTTTGTGACTTGAACACTTCTGGAGCCATCCACGCATAAGTACCTGTCGTTTCAACATTCACAAATGATTAAAACTATTTTCAACGTAAATTTTCCTTAAAACCCCGAACTGCTAAACGTGGAAACTACTAAAACTGCAAACCAGAAAGGGATAGTACTAAGAAAAGTACTAAGCAGAGAGAGTTTAACTAGAGATAGTGATAACTAGAAAAGTATTAGCTAGGAAAAGAACTAAGAGAAAGAGGAAGTGTTAATCAGAGAGAGTACTGACCGGAAATGTCCTACTAGGGGGTATACTAAGTATGGAAGTTACTAAGAAAACCATTAACTAACCAGCTGTGCTCATGTGAGTGGTGTGTGATGCTTCCCTCGCCAATCCAAAATCAATAATTTTTAGCGTTTTGTTTTCCAGGTTATTGCCTTCAATGGCTTCCAGAATTAAAACTGCATATAAAATAACGCAAAGTCACATAGGAAAAATAAAACTGTAATAGAACATGGACTGATGTTAAATTTTAAAGTTCATCGTATGTTTATAAATACATATGCTCAGTACAGTTCAGTTAATGCTGTTAATCAAATTTAAAAATCGCCATTAAGAATGTTATTCTTTTTTCCCCTAGACAGTTAGTTTTGTCTCTAGAATGAGGTATTTATTGACATTATAGTGTAGAAATAATAAAAAAATATTGTTAAAGTTTTCATGATCAATGCAAACAATGCATTCCTAGTAAATCGAGATAAGAACGAAATAGTTCGGCTGACTGTTGTTGGATTTGAGGTCTCGATGGACGATGTGCAGTCGAGCCCCTTCGTGTAGGTAGTTCATTCCTCGTGCTATTTGTAGTGCCCAGTTGACTATTATTTCTGGAGTTAAGCTGAATCTGCAATAAAATTAATCGTCTCTCTAAAATAAAAATTACATAATTCATGTTAAAACAGGTTAAAAATATTATAACCATAGAACATTTAAATTATATTTCGACAATGTAGCATGATTAACTTAATCTAGTATTAATTAAAATAAACCAAAATAATAATAAATATAACAGGGTGTGAAAAAAACTAGATAAAGTAATGACAAAAAACGCAATATGATCCAATAAAAACATCAAAAAGTAATGCATGTAAATTAAAAAACTAAATGTTATGACAAATTTGTTCATCAAACGTAAGACATTTGGTTGAGACTAAATAGATTGTTTTATATGAACGTGTTATGCTGATTAATTTTGTCGTTAATTTTAAATTTAAAATGTGTAAAATCAAATAGATTTCTGTAATGCTTATTTTGTGAAGCGGAATGATGTAAAGGTCGGAGGCACTCCGTCCTGCTTGCTTGCAGTGACCGCGTCCCAATGCAAAGATATTCTCGCCTACTACATCCACGCCTATTCGCATCGCGTGCATTTTATGCGCGCTAATAACTAACTCTGAGTAAATCAATGAAAAAAAACATAATTCCATGGTCTGAATTTGGACTGTGTTTAATGTGAAGATGAGTGCTCATACAGTTCAGAGTTGAAAAAGGTCTGTCTTTGTTTGAGTAGCATGGTGTTAGTCGGGTCGCTGGGTGAAAATAACATTGCGAAAATGGACATTTTTTTGACAAAAGCAATAGAATACTCACTTAGAATAGGGATGTATGTTAAAATGTATATTTTAAAATTTACCGCTATCCAATCCACTTTCCACTTTAGGGAAAATTTTTAATTTGGACTCAATGTTTTCTTAAAAGATTTTATTGCATTTGCATCGAAAAGCCTTGAGAAGGCTTTATTATGTAGCTTGAAAATAATCTTTACGTTAATATTAATGGTTCATTTCAAATGTTTGATGAATAAATATTTTTATGTAGTTGAAAAATAATCAACTTTTTCTTATAATTTATTTTCATAATTCAATTTACATAGGTATCTAAAATTTTTAAAAATGTGGCAGCATCGTCTGCGGATCATTGCCATCCGCAGTCGTTTTTGATAGATACGAAATTAATGCAAGCATTAAAGATTGTGAAAACTAACGTAGATTAGTAAAAATTTCTCCAAACGTCGTTTTGTCTTTAAATGCGCTGCTATTTTAAACAACGAAACCACTAAAAAAGCATTTGTCACTATGCTTACGTCGCATTTGTCACAAAATTATGTAGTAACTCATTAATAACGATACGGTAAAAAATGTAAATTTCGCAATTTTGGATAAGATGTTTGAAATCATATTCCATTCTTTCTGAAATAGTGTGCGCCTTTTTCCATAAAAAATATTTTTAGGATTGGGGTCGCCACATCATGAGGGTTAGTATTCAAGGGGTCGCGGTGTTAAAAAGGTTGAGAACCGCTGTTGTAGTTGCAAATTACATAGATAATATAATTTTATTATTTTTTAATTTTGATGATTTTATAGGAAAATTGACCATAACTGCAACGAGTTTGTTAGCAGGCCGCCCAGAACGTCCTCCACCAACTGAAAATGATACAAGATATCAATTATATAAACTGCCTTCACAAGTAGTCCAGTGAAATGCAGCTCGACCATTGGGGACGGCGACTACTCGATGAACATTACATTTCTTTAGACATAGATTTAGAAGTAAAACCATTTTGACGAATCGGCCGCCACCCAGGTCTTCAAACCAACATCATGAATTCCAGAAGGAAAATTGCTGGAAAGCTCATATGTCAAGCTTGAATTTTCAGTCCAGAATTTTTAAACCAACAAAGTACAATTTTTCTCAAGTTTCTTAAACTGCATTCTGATTTCATTGACTGTTTCTATTGCTTTTGTTTTAAATTGAAACTTGAAAATAAAAAATAAACATAAAACAGGTTTTTTTCCAACTGTATAAAACAGGGATACAAAAATTGACAGAACCCATGTGGTACGCAATTGATAAACAACAGTTAAATGTTATGATTGATATAAGGCAAGATGCTCAAAACTCCCCAGAAAATCTAATTAGGTCCCTCTAACTTGGAAATTTCAAAAAAGAGGCTGTGATGCCGACACAATGCCAGGCAACGTGAATAAGTTAATGTTAAGATTTGAAGTAATCTTCTAAGCCGAATTTTTTCTCGGAAAAAAATTTATTTGGACTGATATTCGGCTAAGCAAATATGTTCTATAAAGCAATTTCTAATAGTTTGCACAAATTTGGGCATATATAAGAAAACTGACAACCCACAACAAAAATTAAAGATTAATTATAAAAAATCTTCAATGAAAATTTGTTTTATTGATAATTATTAATTTTATAAAATCAAATTCTCTAAACAAAACGTTTCCTCAATTGCTAATGGTAATCATTTTACTCTGAAAATCGGAAATTGTCATGAACAAAACATATTTTGTTCAGTTTTTCACCTTTTAGTTGTGACCGGCGTGAGTTCGTAATCTAATTCGTAGTTGAAAACATGGATTCAACTGGAACTGATGATGCAGAAGAATAAATATATGCTAGTTGGTTTAAACTATGGAAACGAGCTGAGTTGAAGAAGCCAAAACTCCAACACAATATCATTGCTTGTTGAATGGGATGATAAATAATAAAAATTTTTCGAGCAATTTGACTACCATTTTTATCAAAAACTTTCTGTTCTTTAATCTCAATTGACAGCATCATCATTTCTTTAACCTTTTGTAGAGGATCTTTATAATCTTGTAATATTTGCCTGTTACCATCAAATTTTGATTGTTGTAACACAGCCAGCAAATTTCGTTCATAAACATTATTAAAAGCATGTTCCAAAACACTTTTCAGCGACAAATTTATACCTATAATCATGCGCATTTACGATTGTCATAAGAAAATTTAAATGCGAATTGAAATTTAAAAAAATTGAATATGAATACCAAATAAAAAAATTCTGCGGCCAAAAAACGTCGAGCAGCTTAAATTTTATTTCTTATTCGGCGATTGATGGCTAATCGTAAAATTTTTTGGCGGATTTTAGGCGCATTTATGATTTATGACTTGATCAATTTGTTTCAGAGTAATTATTGTTCACGAGAAGTTTTTTTATTCTTAATAATTCTGAGTTGATGAGTGTATAATCTATAATCAGAGCAATGTTGAAACGCTCTGTTAACTAAAGAAAATATAACACTATTTTTATATTGTTCTGAGGCCTCGCTTTTACCATTAAGACAAAATCCCAAATTGGTGTCTTTTACATAAACTTGCGTTTGAAAACCAATGTCATTTCTGGTTATCAGGACATCCAAAAATGGTAGCTGTTTATTATTTTCAATTTCATGGGTAAAGGAAAAAACTGAGTTGGATTTAAATTCATCAATTAGGTCCATCAAGTTGTTTTCATTTTCTACTATAATGAACGTATCACCAACATATCTTACATACATTTCGGGTTTTTAAATATTGTAAAAATAATATTAAGAATATGTAGTTAATTAAATAAATTAATTCGCGCTTCTCGGCTGAGCGTTGATATTTACCTTAACAATCATAATATAAACAATCTTGCCGTTCAAAATTTTAAAAATCGCGTTTTATATTGTTTATAGTTATTAAATTTATTTTATTGATTTTCTGTTTTAATTAAATAATTTATATAAATTAATAATTACTTGTTCCTTCTTATCAAATATCTTACTTACCTTATATATAATGCACTGAAGATGAGTTATCTATAACTCGAAATAGCTCTTTGCAAATTTATTTAATAAAAATTTTTAAAAAACAATAAAATGTCTAATTTCTCTGAAATTAATAAATTAAAAAGAAATATAAAAAAGTTGAACAATGTTGAATGTAGTGTTGAATTTTTGAAATGTTGCGTTAACAACAGTCTGTTATCAAAAATATATATATATATATATATATATATATATATATATATATATATATATATATATATATATATAGACACATAAGCGCATAATTTAAGAACATGGTATGTTAAAGGTTAGACTAGGCATACATGACACATAATTACAACATCACTAATTGTGAGGTGAGCTGGAACTTGTGCACGTACATGCATGACACATAATAACAACATCACTAATTGTGAGGTGAGCTGGACAATTTTCTTCATGCTATAACATGGGTTATGCATAAATTATAAGCTGATCTTTGTGTACAGAGTTTGGCGTATCACACAGTTTATTCATATATTTGAATTAATTAACTATTTGCTTGGTGTTATTTTTTGATGTTCAACATGTAAATAACCGTAAATGTGAGTATTTTTTCTAACGTATGTAAATGGTAAATAAAATCCGGCCCCGGCTTCGGCCCCGTCCGGTTTTTGAAAAACCTAAATCCGGTGCATACCTACTTAGGAGTCTAGTTTGAAGCAATCAAAACAAACGGAAAACATGCAGCGACCTCTAGAAAACATTGCAGTTGAATGGATACTAATTTGGCTAAATGGGCAACTAAGTCGAAAATAACGTGCTCTTAACTAAAATCCACCTAGTTCGGTGCAAGAAGTTGACTTAAAATCAATCTATAAACACTAAATATTTTATTTCAACGAATAGAAATTTCAACGATCCTAACTTCTTTATTTGCATGTCAAGATTTTTTGGCTGTATGTATGAATTTTTTATATTTTTACAATGCAATAGCGGATTAAATAATACAAATAAAAACAAAAGGAAAGAGAATAATTGTATTCATAAACATGCAATGAATGATTTTAAAGAAAAATAATAATATTCGAAGTGAAACCTTTGTATGATTTGACTGACAGGACCCCCTCTGGCATACTCCATGACCAGGCACAAATTAGGTGGACTCAAGCAAACTCCCAACAATCTAATTATGTTTGGATGGTGCAGTAACCAGAACAGCTGAGCTTCTTTTCGTATGCTTTCGATCATGGAATTAACATGGTTGGCTGGAGATATTGAAGACACGACAAACAACTTGATTGCAACTTCTTCACCTCTCCAATGACCTCGATGCACATTGCCAAACGCACCGTGGCCGATCATTGAGCCCAGGGGCAGCAACTCATTGTATTCAATTTCAATGGGCAACAGTTCAGAAACACACAAACACGGGAAGATGCCTACCTGGTCGTTCACTTCTCCAGCCCACCAGCCCTCGTCTCCTGATATTCGAGCGTCTCTACAAAAGAGTGCAAATTAATTATTAATTCATTAATAAGATATCACATCATCACATGAACCATTGAGAATTACCAAAATTGAGAATTGAGAATTACCAAAAAAAAAACACTGAAAGGAATGGGCAACAAAATCACATAAGAAAAAAATGTTATTCGGAATAGGAAAAAAGAAAATTAATTCCAGAAAAATGTAAGTAACTAATAAGATGTCAAATTGAAGATGTATAACGATTTATAACGGTTACTGGTAATGATAATTTTCTCTTGTTGCGTTATTCATAGGCATCAATTTATGTGAATATATGTGGATTCAATGCATGTGAACGCTTACGTCAAACACGGTGCGTATAATAGAGTTCTCTCTGCAATGAAGTCAAGTTATTGCAATACAGAAGCAGACACCTTCAACTCTATTATACCACCACGCCACTCATCTCTCTATATAATTCTATTATATAGTGACAATGAAAAATAAAAAATGTATATACTTAGACAGGATTCGAACTCTGGCTCCCCTTCGTAATGTTAGTTCATCTTTCCTGGTTGCTTCGTAGTCTGATATAACAACCCATATATGTTCTCCTTTGTATCGAAATGTATTGCGTCTCCATAAAGATGATCCACTTGGCTTGGATTTCCTGAGAAACTGGGCAGAAACATTGATAATAGGATAAGATTACAATCACTTTATTGCAATCAATTTTTAGGTTAAAATACTTGTTCAAAAAATGAAATAATGTTTTTCAAAACTACACATTTATAAAGATTATTTATTTATTTATAAACTACCTTGAGATATCGTTTCTCAAATGTTGTTCTTAATAATACTACTTAATAATACTAATAGAACTCCTCCACTCTCACATTTGGAGTACCTCAAAGACTTATCCTTGATCCTCTTCTATTTTTATTCTATACTTCAAAACCTCTAAATAACCCGGAATTAAAAATTTTTCTATTACTATTCAACTGTATGCTGAAGTTTTTCATATCTATTTCCTTCACTTTATCTAATTTTAATAGTTATCTTCATAATTTAACTTTATATCTTTCTGCTATTATCGAAGCATGTTAAAACTTGGAATGATGCAAATAATGGAAACAGAAATGGTCAATCAATCAATGATCCTCCTTTGTCCATCGGAGGACCGTCGGAGCCGATGATGTACATCTAAGCATGCTTTTTATATTTATTTTTTCCTTTTTTCTTTCCAAAAACCTTTTCTATCTTTGGCCAGTTTCATTGAATTCAGAATACCAACACCAGTCCATCCAGTAATGTCATCTATCCATTTCTTTGCAGGTCTACCAACTTTTTTCTTCCAATCTTTTCTCCTCATTAGTAACATCTTAATCAATTTGTCTTCTCTTCTTCTACAAATGTGTTCAAAAAATCCCAATTTTCTCTCTCTGACTTTGTCATATACATTTTTCGATCTTCTAAGTTGATTTCTGATGGTATCGTTTTTTATTTTCTCCCTCCAACTGATTTCCAACAAATTTCGGGTAACACTTCATCTCAAATGCTTCCAATCTGTCTTCTGCAAACCTGAGATCTTTGACAGTTCTCATTCCTATGTCAATTCCACCAAATTCCGAATTTTCCATTTTTCCATTGCTCTTTCTAACAATGCCATAAATAGTATTGGTGATATTGGATCGCCCTGTCTGCTTCCAATATCTGCCTTTATCCAATCCCCAAGTTCTGTACCTATTATTACAGACATTTTTGATTCTTCATAAAGCCCTTTCAGTATTTTAACCAGCTTTTCTGATGACCCCATACTTTTTAATGTTGCCCACAAACCTTCATGTCAAACAGAATCAAAAGCTTTCTTATAATCAAAAAAGCAATGGTAAATTGTCTGTCCGCTACTTTTTGCATCTTCCATCAGCAGTCTCAAAATCAGAATTTGTTGAATTGTGCTTCTGTCCTTTCTGAAGCCTGCTTGTTCTTCATGCAGATGTTGCTCTATGACCTTTTCCAGTCGTTCTTTTATGATGGTCAGCATGATCTTGCATATTTGCGGAATTAGTGCAATTGATCTATAATTATTACAGTCTTTTTGGTTTCCCTTTTTCGGCAGCATAACCAGAACTGACTTGCACCATTCTTCTGGTCACTTTCCACTTTCCCAAATTTCTTGACAGATTGTGTGAATTTTTTACACACAACTTGTCCTCCTGCTTTTATCAGTTTTATCGGAATACCATCCTTTCCTGTACTTTTGTTGTTCTTCATTTTACTCATTGCTCTTGTAATTTCTTCCCTCGTTATTTCACTTTCTTCTTCATTATTTTTTGCTTTTCAAAACTTCAAGCGTTTCTTTTTTGTATGTGTTCTTGTCTGTGAATAAGCCTTTAATATATTCAGTCCATATATCCTTATTCTTTTTACTTTCTGTTAGGATGTTACCGTTTTTATCGTTAATAATCCTAGACATATTTTTCTGTTTTCCTTTTAACTGTTTAACCAGCTGGTACGCCTCTCTTGTCTTGTTTTGCCCAATTATCGTTTCTAATTTTTCACATTTACCATTAATTCATCTCCTTTTATCTGCTCTAGCACTCTTTTTTATTTTTTGGCTGACTTCTTTGTATTTCATCTTATTTTCTTCACTCTGTCTATTCGTCATTTTCAAACTTCTTCTTTCTTCTAAAAGGTTCCATGTTTCATCGTTTATCCACGGTTTTTAACTCCACCACTGGGGCTGCAATCCAGCAGAGTTCGGTGCCGGTCCCAAGTCCGGGTAAAAAAGGAGGATTGACAGGATTTTGCTACACTGTTTTAAAAAGGCTACAAACACGATGGTAAACACAACAGCAAATAATCATACCGGCTCGGGGGTCGCCCGGGACAACAAGGACCGCATTGCAGCTTTGTGGTAAGTTGGGACACATGAGATGATGAAAAAAGAGCTTGAGGGTATATTAAGGGTGTCATGAAAAGAAAAAAAAAACGAGCGAATGGGTTCTGAAAACGACTGGCGTACAACAAAACATACTGTCTAAAATCAAAAAGAAAAAATTAAGCTACATTGGTCACATCTTCAGGAAACACCAATGCATGGAAAAAGATATAATACAAGGGACGTTGTCCGGATCAAAACGAAGAGGAAGGCAAAGAAGATGGAACAATGACATTAAGGATTGGACGGATTTTAAAATGAAAGAGTTGCTGAGAAAAAGGCAAGACAGCGTTAACTGGAGAAAACATATTTATGATACAGTCTACTCATGAATCAAGGATGGTTAGAGATTGGAGTGATTCTATGTACCTTAAAATAAATCCTTCTAAGTTCGAACTAATATGTTTTAATAAATCTAAACACTCTGTTACTACTCGTTCTATTGATACATTACCTGATTCTAAAACTCATGATTTTTCTCAGAAGTTTCATAGTCTAAGCTTAATTTTGGATTTTCTAGCATGTCTTTCTCCTCACAGAATAATAGTGTTGTTAAAAGTTCTTACATTCATCTACGAAAAATAAAAAACTTCTAACTTTCCTTGATGATCTTATTCTTCTCTTACTTATTACTTCATCTGTTTTATCTGGGATTAATTATTGTGACTGTAACTCGTCTTCCTGATTCTAACTCTATCCTTAGTAAAGAACACCTATCTAGAATTGAAAGTTATTTATTCCAATGTAGATGGTATTTAAAATAAGATGGATGAAACAAAAGCATTAGTTTCAATTTTCGAATATAATGTCATGATCATCACAAAAAGCGGATTGATAGTGAAATTTGACCTGAATGCCAAATCTGATTGTGTGTGTATGCAGAATAATTTACTGTGGACCCAGTATATTTTTATGCTGCATTTACCACAGAGGTAGTAATTTTTTTATCATAATAATGAAGCAGTATCCACCACAAACATAGTCTTGTGCTACATTTATTTATATTGCACATACGAATGCATAAAAAATCAAACTTTACTCCTAACCTAAACCTAAAATTGTACTGTTGATAATTTTATTGATGTAAATAAAATTAACAAAAATATAAGATCACTTTCTTTCTATTATAGGCAATGCATTTAATATTTACATACCTTAATGTAATACAATTGATAGTAGTGATAAGAAATGAAACCTGTTTTTAAAGGTTGGGTTTAGTCTGGTTAGATATAAATATGAACTTGGATCAACCATGAGCATGGTTCACATTTGGTTAAACTTCACAAAATTACACAATAGCAAAACTAAGTAATAAGTATCAAAACAACTGTGAACTAAAACTTTACCGTTTGGCATGAGTTTTTTACTTTGAAGTTTCTACTTTTTGTTGTCTTAAATTTTAATGAAAATCTATTGTTGCAATTATTATTGATTGTTATTATTAGTTGTTTTTGTGATCAGCTGGTTATTGTTGATGGGTTTTTTGCATTGTATTGGTTCTGTATGTGTTGGTCGAGTTAGTTATATCTTTTGTGATATGTAGTGTACTGTTTTAATAAATTTTTTATAATTTTGATTGTTGTTAACATAAAAAGTTAGTTCTACACAAGAGGTGCAGAAACAAAGAAACTTCTATCCCAAAAAGATTGTTTGTCTGGTTTGTTATTTGTTATATATACCTAATAGTTTCCTTATTTAGTTCATATCTAACTTATGATATTACAAACTTATTACATTGTGAATGAGGTAAAGAAAATTTATAACATTTTGTTGCATGACATGAACAAGTAACAGATTGGTGGTGAAACTGATAAATTATTTATCATCAGAATTTTTTCTGTTAAAAATTATTTATGAAAAAAACACCAAAATTTTAACAAAGGTTAGATGTATAAATATCTCAGGTGCAAATACAAGCTCAGCCCACTTAAAAACAGCTTCTTTAATTTAAGTCAGGTCCATTACATAAACATACTACACATTGAGTAAAAAATAATGTGTAGGCCAAAGAGATTATTTGTTGTGAACATAATGTGTTGAGCAATAATAATAAAATAAGCATTTTGTGACTTAACTGGCAAAAAGTTTTATTAAACAGGTGTTAAACAAACAGAATATACAATACACATACAAAAAGCAATTATTTTTTCCACTGTTATTATCAACATACTTATTCGAACTAATCATAGTATATATAAAATTATAAATATATAAATTAAACAGAACAAGAACTTCCAATGTCAAATAAATCACAAACATAAATGATAAAATTAAAAAACAAAATTATTAAGATTGCTTGCTCACTGAATTGGACAACAGTTCGCTTTTTGAACGAGTATGCAATATCGAAAAGGGATATTTGATTAATGGACGTTTGACTGAAGCTGTCGATAAAGGCCTGAAGTTTTGCTGACTATCCATTTGGTTCAACTGAATTTTTCATAAACTAAAATAAAATTTTAAACTAAAAAAAGAAAAAAGTAGAAATAAAAGAAAGTGAAGAAGATAACTAAAAAGTAGACGTTTGGTTTAAGAAACACGACCAAATAAGTTTGCTAAAAAGAATGGTCATGACGAATTTGAAGACGCGAAGCTACTTTTATTTCATAAAAAATTATTGAGTACTAATAAACAAAATGAATATCTCTTCTAACAATGTTTT